TTCATATTTGGGTTTTTTGGAATATTTGTCCCAAGTTTGGTACAGATCCATCATTGTTTGAGTCCACAGTGCTCTCTGGATGTAGGTGAACTACAACTCCCAAATTCAAGGTCAATGCCCACCAAACCCTTCTAGTGCTTTCTGTTCGTCATAGGACTCCTATATGCCACGTTTGGTTCAATTCCATCATTGGTGGAGTTCAGAATGCTCTTTGATTGTAGGTGAACTATAAATCCCAGCAACTACAATTCCCAAATGACAAAATTAAAAAAAATGAGTGAAGGACATACATTGGGTTGTTAGGTTTATGCTGTCCAAATTTGGTGTCATTCCGTCCAGTGGTTTTAGAGTTAAGTTATTCCCACAAACGAACATTACATTTTTATTTATATGGTTTGAGAATTGGACTATGACTCTGGAGAACAGGACCTGAATTCCTGCTTGGCCATGGAAACCCACTGGGTGACCTTGGGTGAGTCATACTTCCTCAAAGGAAGGCAACAACAAATCCTCTCTGAACAAATCTTTCTACAAGAACCCATCATTAATCATTAACTACTTGAAGAAACACAAGAACAGCAAATACCTCAGTCCCATCATGATCCTTTCATAGTGTCAAACTGTTGTACTGAGAATGATCTTTCCCCTGGAAAGATTCAACATATTTTACTTGTTTCATTTATTTCTATCCCACCTTACTCTTGAGATGGGACCATTACCACTTGAGAGAGGGGGCTGATCTAATATTGCCAGGAAGGGAGTTCCATAACCAGGGGGCAATCACTGAGAAGGCCCTGTCTCTCGTCCCTGCCAAACGTCTGTGATGCTGGCGGGACCGAGAGCAGGGCCTCCCCAGAAGATCTTAGTTTCCACAATGGTTCATAAAGGGAGATGTGTTCAGTTAGGTAAACTGGGCCGGGACCATTTAGGGCTTTATAGGCCAAAACCAGCACTTTGAATTGTGCCCGGTAGCAAACAGGCAGCCAGTGGAGCTGACGTAACATGGGAGTTGTATGCTCCCTGTTTGCCGTCGCAGTTACTAACCTGACTGCCTCTCGTTGGACTATTTGAAGCTTCCGAACTGTCTTCAAAGGCAACCCCACGTGGAGTGCATTGCAGTAGTCTTTCCTGGATGTAAAAGAGCGTGGACCATTGTGGCCAGTACTTTGAATTGTGATCGGTAGCAAACAGGCAGCCAGTGGAACTGGTGTAACATGGTAGTTGTATGCTCCCTTATGCTACCCCAGTTATTAACCTGGCCGCCTCTCGTTGGACTATTTGACGCTTCCAAACTGTCTTCAAAGGCAACCCCACGTAGAGTGCGTTGCAGTAGTCTATCCTGGATGTAATGAGAGCATGTAACCAAGTCTGACTTCCCAAGGTATGGGTGCAGCTGGCGCACAAGTTTTAATTGTTCAAAAGACCCCCTGACCACCACTGCAACCTGAGGATCCAGGTTGCAGTGGTGGTCAAGGGGTCTTTTGAACAATTAAAACTTGTGACTGACCAGGAGAACCTCTGTCTTGTCAGGATTCAACTTGAGTTTGTTCTGTCATTTGTAGGGTTCAGAATGCTCTTTGATTGTAGGTGAACTGTGAATCCCAGTGACTACAACTCCCAAATGTCAAGGTCTATTTTCCACAAACTCCATCTGTGTTCATATTTGGGCGAATTGAGTGCTTGTGCCAAGTTTGGTCCAGATCCATCATTGTGCTCTCTGGATGAACTACAGCTCCCAAACTCAAGGTCAATGCCCACCAAACCCTTCCAATTTTTTCTGTTGGTCATGGGAGTTCTGTGTGCCAAGTTTGGTTCAATTCCATCGTTGATGGAGTTCAGAATGCTCTTTGATTGTAGGTGAACTATAAATCCCAGCAACTACACCTCCCAAATGACAAAATCATATTTTTTTGAGTGAAGGTCACTCCTTGTGTTGTGAGATGTTTTGTTGCCAAATTTGGTGTGATTTTGTTCATTGGTTCTTTTGTTTTTAAGGTACTCATTATGCACAGCGCATTTTTATATAGATAGATTAATATTTCAATGGGAAGTGTGGACCTGCTTTTGGCTGATGAGATAGCATTGTTGTTGTTGTGTGCTTTCAGACTTAAGTTGATCCTGAGCAAGGGCCAGGTAAATGACCTTGGAGGGCCGTATCCGGCCCCCAGGCCTTAGTTTGAGGACCCCTGAGTAGATGTTAAACAAGATGGGGGACAATACTGAGCCCTGCTCTACTGCTATGGTAAAAAAGTTTGCCTGGCAAGCATTGCAACTGAACTAACCTAAAAGCATATTGCTTTTGCGCGTTGTACTTCCCCCGAGGTTGTGCTGCCTTAGATGCTCTGATGCGTAAAAGTACAGAGAGTGCATGGAATTAATGATTTTGGACCTTTTACTTTGTAGATAGGAGTACGAGGAGGAACCTGGAGCTTAGAAAGAGGATGTGTCCCCTAACAATTCATACATACGTGACCGGTTCTGCATAGTTCCCTGTCACACCGGCTTCCCCTAAAGCAAAGAGGTCACAGATGATTCAGCTGGTTCTTCTGGTTGAGGCCTTCTCAAGGCAACACCATGATGACAGATTTATATAATTTGAGGAAAAATAAACTTGTTCAACAAATACATAGGCCTCTGTAAAGGGCTACCCACCTAGAATTTTACTAAACTGATGGGAATTTTCCTAGCCTCCTAATTATTTGTGAGACTCAGAAAATGTTAAAAACAAAATAAATATATATATTCAGTTTCCCTGCTTTCTGTAAAAAAAAATCTTTTTAAAGAAGACTTTGGGGAAAATGCAGTCTACAGAAGTTGCCTTTGCTTTTTATTCCCTAGGAGAGGAAAGGGAAATTGTTGTTGTTGTTCATTCGTTCAGTTGCTTCCGACTCTTTGTGACTTCATGGACCAGCCCACGCCAGAGCTCCCTGTCGGCCGTCACCACCCCCAGCTCCTTTAAGGTCAATCCAGTCACTTCAAGGATACTGTTCTGGTACAGCTGTACCAAGACCTCCAACTTTATTTGCTTTGTATTAAATGTTTGCTTGCAGCCCTAGGTTTCAGGGACTCTGCAGATAGGTGGCTTCTTTTGGTTGCAGTTATAGGGCTAGTCACCTGTCCATCATTGTTAAGTTTTGGTTCCGCCCCTTGCTCAGGGTAATTGGGAAGGGAAGGGAGCCATTTTTAGTTAGTCTCAGCAAGGAAAGCTAATGTACAGGACGTGTGCAAGCTTCCCCTGCACAAAAGCTTCAACCCATAAGACTTTCCGGGGGGAAACAGTCTTAAGAGCATCCAAAGATTCCCAAAGATTCCCAGGGAAACAGCCCTAAAGCTCTGATGAATTTTGGAGGGAAAAACAGCTTTGAATATCAAAGAACTCCAGCTGAAGAGACTACTGGCCTCGCTGGTAGGTCCACTCGGTGCTTTGAGACGCAGTTCAAACCGGTAGTGGAGCACACATCGGTTAGGTTTAGGTTCACAGTCAGCCTGGGAGAAGTTAGAAAGGGATTTTCCTTTAAAGTAAAGTAACAGTTAGAAGCCACCAGTTGCACAAAAGCCTGGAAGCATTTGTTTAACCTTTTGAAGACAAGAGAAGTTTCTGTTTGATTGTTCCTCAATAAAAGACTTTGTTATATTTCACAAGCCCTCTAAAGACTGTTTGTGGTGGAAAATCCCTAAGAGCTTCTCTTCGGGGGCCCTGGCTTTCCGCTGGGCTCAAGCTGCACGTCCTGTTTTAAAGGCACTTAATTTCAAGCCCAGCATGCGACAGAACAGATACCATCCATCCATCTTGCCCTTGGTCGGCCCTTCTTCCTTTTTCCTTCCATTTTCCCCAGCATAATTGTCTTCTCTAAGCTTTCCAAAGGGAAATATATTTTGGATATGCTCAGAAGAACCTATTAGGTAATCAACAACTTTTTTTACACAGGGAAAAGGTGCTCGGTGTAAATTAAGAATACCTCAGAGAGCGATGTTGTGTTTTGGTTAATACAAGATGGTTTCTGAATGAAATAAATAACGATGGTGTGTCTATTGGACAAATCTATTTGTCCAATAGATCTATAGAAAGATTGATATATGCACATGTCTGATTATGTACATGCACTAAGTTTAAGAAAAGGAGAGGAAGCTGTTGGGAAAATGGCGGAACTCAGCACCCATCATAACTTTTGATAACATCTTGCTCCATATAGATTGGGGGCCCTTCCAGACAGGCCCTATATACCAGGATCTGATCCTAGGTTTTCTGCTTTAAATTGGATTATATGAGTCCACACTTCCAGATACTCTGGGATAAACCGAAAGCCTGGGATCCGGACAATTTGGCCAGTCCAGCGGAGTTGATGGCAGAGGACCATCGCTTCAGTGCTGGTGGTCTTTGCTTCTTCCAGCACGCTGACATTTGTCCGCTTGTCTTCCCAAGAGATTTGCAGGATTTTCCGGAGGCAGCGCTGATGGAATTGTTCCAGGAGTTGCATGTGACGTCTGTAGACAGTCCATGTCTCGCAGGCATATAGCAGGGTTGGGAGGACAATAGCTTTATAGACAAGCACCTTGGTGTCCCTATGGATGTCCCAGTCCTTAAAACACTCTCTGTTTCATTCGGAAAAATGCTGCACTCGCAGAGCTCAGGCGGTGTTGAATTTCAGTGTCAATGTTGACTTTTGTGAAGAGGTGGCTGCCAAGGTAGTGGAAATGGTTAACATTTTCTAATGTTACACCATTAAGCTGTATTTCTGGCATTCGAGAGGGATTGGCTGGTGACTGCTGGAAGAGCACTGGTTTTCTCAACGTTTAATGACAGGCTGAGCTGCTCATATGCTTCTGCAAAGGTGTTTACAGAGGATTGTAGGTCTTCTTGTAGCTTTTCTTCAAAAATGTACATTTTTTAAAATTTAGCTTTTCTTTAAAAAGGAGTTAAGAAGACGGATGTTACCCACTCTGTAAAGATATTTATTTTTTCTCTTCTTCCTCCTCCTCCTCCTCTTCCTATCTCCCAGTCCAGGGATTCTCGATTCCCATCCAGGAGATGGTTACTGTGAGACTTGGAGCAGCCAGCAACGGACAGGAAGCCACCGTCCAAGAAAAAGATGATAATTGTTTTACTGGTAAGCAGGATATGTCAAAGCAGGTAGTTTTGTGGGAGTCTGCATGGTCTGTTGCCATACTAAGGAACATACATGTGGCTTGAAAGTCAAACAGTAAAGTTAAATCTGAAGCAGAATTGCCAAGAATGGAATGCACTTCTAATAGCAGCCTCCGAATCTTAGTCCTTTGCAGTAAAATAAGATTGGATCTGCCAAGAATTGGTAATGTGTTAAAGGTTGTTTCTAGTCAAGAGTCATTAAGCTAAAAGCCTTATAAATCATTACAAATTAAGCAAATCAGGTGCCAACTAGGAACCTCTAACCCTTGGCTTCAAGTTGTAGTCTTCATGAAAAATCAGAGCAAAAAGGAAAGGGCATAAGTGTGTTTCTATAGAATACTAAAGGGTAGATATTAAATTTATTGCTTCAAACAATTCTTATCCCTTACAATGACTATTGAGCACCACCCAGACATAGGAGATCCCCGGGTAGTAAGCAACCAGGGCTAGTGAACACTACCCAGGCAGAGGCAGCAAGCAATTCAAAGGGAACAAAGGCCAGGTTACTTCTTTGCAGATACCCTCACTAACTGACGATGCTATCTTCATGGTTACTCACATGCTAATGGGTGGATCTCAGTCGACACAATTGTTATTTTCTCCCACCATGGGTATCTATATAAATAAAAATGTAATGTTCGTTTGTGGGATTAACATAACTTAAAAACCACTGGATGAATTGACACCACATTTGGATACAAGACACTTGCTAGGTCAATGAGTGAACATCACTAAAAATTGATTTTGTCATTTGGGAGTTGTAGTTGCTGGGAGTTATATTTAACCTACAATCAAAGAGCATTCTGAACTCCACCAATGATGGAATTGAACTCAACGTGGCACACAGAACTCCCATGACCAACAGAAAATACAGGAATGGTCTGGTGGGCACTGACCTTGAATTTGGGAGTTGTAGTTCAACTACATCCAGAGAGCACTTTGGACTCAAATAGTAATGGATCTGGACCAAATTTGGCACAAGTACTCACTATGCCCAAATGTGAACACAGGTGGAGTTTGGGGGAAATAGACTATGACATTTGAGAGTTGTAGTTACTGGGATTTATAGTTCACCTACAATCAAAGAGCATTCTGAACCCCACGAACGACAGAATTGGGGCAAACTTCCCACACAAAACCCCCATGATCAACAGAATACTTAAGGCCATCCAGTCCAACTCCCTTCACGAGGGCAAGAAAATGTAATCAAAGCCCTCCTGACAAAGAGCCATCCAGCCATAGATATAGATAGATATATATGATTCACACACACACAGATATAGTATCATAGATTTGAAAGGGACCCCTACAGAAGGACAATTATATGTTGCATGTTCCAGCGTAGGCAAACCAGACAATCTCCACATCAAACTGAAAAAGAAACAGCTAGAAATACTGTGTACCCACAAGCATTAAGAAATCACATATATTAGAAACCAACACTTTCTCATTACTTTATTTTCCAGATCACCAACTGGGCCACAGCAACATGGTGAGGGGAAGGCTAGTATACAATATAATAATAATAATAATAATAATAATAATAATAATAATATAATAATAATAATATATACTCTATCTATCTCCCCGAGGGGACTCAGAGCGGTTTCCAAGTAACATCATCAATATATAGAGGTAACAACATAACCATAAGATTAACAAAACAATATAAGCATAAAAATTGTCGCCATAACACATATATATCAAAAATAATCCTGCCTGTTCAAGGCAATTTAAAAGGCCGGACTGAGATTAGTGCAAGCTCAAAAATCCTAGGGAGCCCAGGAATTAAGTGCAGTGCTATAGCAGGCAACAATAATAGGTACGGGTGTATGGCCATATTTAACAACGTCTAGGGCTGAGCTAGAACTAGACAGTCTCAAAGGTTTGTTGAAACCACCAGATCTTCAAGCTCTTATGAAAGGAGGGGAGGGATGGGGCCTGTCTAATTTCCCTGGGGAGGACGTTCCAGAGGCGGAGGGCTACCACTGAGAAGGCCCTCTCTCTCGTTCCCACCAACCGAATTTGTGACAGTGGTGGGAGCGAAAGGAGGGCCTCCATGGAAGATCTTAGAGTATATATACTTCACTTGCTTTACCACCACCAGGTCTTCTGAAGATGACAGCAACAGATACAGGTGAAACTGTTGCTAGAACACGGCCATACAACCCAGAAATCACACAACACCCCAATCCTTATCCTCTGCATCTCACTGTACCTATTGGCTGAAGGAAGATAATTAAGATAATGTAGAGTCCTAATCCGACTTTCCACAGATGCCACAAAGAACATGCAATAGTGTTAGTATAGATATCTGCAAACTCAATATGTGAACCATTTCAGAGCATTTTTTAAAAAAACTGGGCAATTCTTTCACGTAAGCTTTTTGAATTGTTTTGTGTTGCTTGATTCCCCTCCAGTTCTCTTGTCAACCCTTTCCTCCTTGTTCTCACAGTATTCTTTGTCCAGCGGGAGAAGCAAGAGCGTTGGAGCCTGGCATCAATGCAGTTTACTGCTCCGCCTCAGTCTCAGCTGGCAGTGCGCTGGGTCAATTCTCTCCAGATCTGGATTCACTACCACGGTTGGTGTCTCGCCTGATTACTATTTACTTACTTAGGCGATCCCTCGTAGTCCGAGGATGATGGTCCTCCAAGTGTAGTATCCTGGCAGTGGGTCCGGAGGTGACTGTGGAGCCCTATTCTTGATCTGCATCTTCTCCCACAGTGAGGGCATCGGTTTCCAGGTGGAAGGCGGACCCGGTCGGGAGTGGCTTGACACGCCTTCCTCTTGGCATGTTTCTCTCTTTCGCCCTCCATTCGTGCCTCTTCAAATTCTGCAGCACTGCTGGTCACAGCTGACCTCCAGCTGGAGCGCTCAAGGGCCAGGGCTTCCCAGTTCTCAGTGTCTATGCCAGAGATTTTAAGGTTGGCTTTGAGCCCATCTTTAAATCTCTTTTCCTGTCCACCAACATTCCGTTTTCCATTCTTAATTTCAGAGTAGAGCAACTGCTTTGGGAGGCAGTGGTCAGGCATCCGGACAACGTGGCCGGTCCAGCGGAGTTGATGGCAGAGGACCATCGCTTCAATGCTAGTGGTCTTTGCTTCTTCCAGCACGCTGACGTTTGTCCTGCTTGTCTTCCCAAGAAATTTGCAGGATTTTTCAGAGGCAGCGCTGATGGAATCGTTCCAGGAGTTGCGTGTCACGCCTGTAGACTGTCCACGTCTCGCAGGCATATAGCAGGATTGGGAGGACAATAGCTTTATAAACAAGCACCTTGGTGTCCCAGTCCTCAAACACTCTCTGCTTCATTCGGAAAAATGCTGCACTCGCAGAGCTCAGGCGGTGTTGTATTTCAGTGTCAATGTTGACTTTTGTGGAGAGGTGGCTGCCAAGGTAGCGAAATGGTCAACATTTTCTAATGTTACACCATTAAGCTGTATTTCTGGCATTGGAGAGGAATGGACTGGTGACTGCTGGAACAGCACTTTGGTTTTCTCAATGTTCAATGACAGGCCAAGCTTCTCATATGCGTCTGTGAAGGTGTTTAGAGTGGCTTGTAGGTCTTCTTCTGAATGCGCACAGACGACGTTGTCATCAGCATACTGGAGTTCTATAACAGATGTTGTTGTAACCTTGGTTTTGGCTTTCAGTCTGCTGAGGTTGAATAGCTTGCCACCTGTCCGATAGATGATTTCCACTCCGGTGGGAAGCTCCCCATCAACAAGGTGAAGTAGCATAGCGATGAAGATGGAGAATAGAGTTGGGGCAATAACACATCCCTGTTTTACACCTGATTCCACCTTAAATGTGTCACTTTGAGAGCCATTGCTGTCCAAGAATGCTGTCATCATGGAGGAGCCGCAGGATGTTCACAAATTTGTTATGGCACCCGATTTTTTGGAGGATGGTCCAGAGTGCGCGGCGATTCACTGCCCAAGAACAACGATTCGATGCCCAAGAACATCATAAAACATTTAAAACATTAATACATAGTATAAAAGCCAACAAAAGTAATAAAAACATAAGACATTTGTGTCTACTAATTAAGAATTACACAGGGCCCTTCTACACAGCCATGTAATCCAGAATTTCAAGGCAGATAATTCACAATATCTGCTCTGAAATGGATTTTCTGAGGCCACACTGCCATATAATCCAGTTCAATGTGGATTTCTTACAGCTGTGTGGAAGGGGCCACACTATTGCATATCCCGAATGACCCTCACAGAGACAGGTGATTCACTACGATAGTGCACTCAATGGGCCTTAGTGATATTCTGTGTACAGCTCCTATGTTTTCTTTCCCTCTGCTTCAGGGATTACACGTCCCAGGAGTCTTCTTGTCTTCATCAACCCAGTTGGAGGCCGTAAGCGGGCAGTGGAGATCTATCAAACTCAGGTGGCCCCGCTTTTCACTCTGGCTGGGGTTTATGTTCAAGTTGTGGGTGAGTCCCATTTGTCTTCTCCACCAGTCCCATCTTCCTCTACATTTTCTTGCAACATGACACCCTCCTATAATCCTACAATGAACATGTTTCTCTTTTCTTCTTCTTCCCATCTTCTCAGAGACCTGCCGTGCTAAAGAGGCTCGTGACTACATCCTGGAGCAAGATCTCAATGACTTTGATGGGTAAGGGATTCCTTCTGTGGGCTTCTCCTGTGGCATCTTTTACGCTCCACATTCCTCATCCACCCTGTCTATGTCCCTTTGTGTATGTCCTTCAAGTAATCTGATGGCTTATGTTGACCTGAAGAATTTCAGATGGCTTTTTTAAGGCAAGAGGTGATTTTGTCAGTTCCTTCCTGTCACCTTGCCAGGGCTCTGCCTTATTTAGGTAGAGATGAATCAAACTCCCAATTTTATCAAACAGTTTAATTAAAACAACACTTACTTGCTGGCTGTTTTAATAGACCAAAACATAAAACATAAAGATAGCACCCAGCCACAGAATAAAAAAAAAACTGTTAGCAAAAACAATGCCGTAGTGAAAAGGGTCCAGTCCAGTGGTCAAACGCGAGAGTTCAATAACAAAGTCCAAGGATCAAGAGTCTATACCGTAGTCAAAAGTCAGTCCAAAGGTTCAAGGATTCCAAGATTACAGGAGACAGATCAGGATACCGAAAAATCCAACAGACCTGGGGGAAAAACCAGCAGCATCCACCACCAAAATACAACAGATACTTTTCTCCCAAAGATCAGTCTCAAGGTTAGCTCCTTAAATCCAGTAACACCCAGCTGCAACCCAATTCCTGCACACCTCCACCCCTAATTGCTTTCACCCATTAACTCCCACTTACAGATTACCAAACCCTCTAGAACTAATACTCACTTTAACCCTTCCATCACCAACCACCATCAACTGCAGAACATATGACACTTCCTCTGAAATATACCCTACAGTCCCTGGTATTTGTTGGCAATCTCCCATTCAAATACTAACCAGGGCTGTCCCTGCTTAGCTCCCAAACTCAGGCAGGATCTGATGCCTTTAGGGCACATGTATCAAACTCAAGGCTTGCGGACCGAATCCAGCCGGACCTTCTTACAGCAACACCAGAAGCACTCCAAGTGACCAGCCACTGGTCAAAGGACATTTAGAATAATGCTAAGTTTTTAAACTCTTTTTAAAAAAAATACATTACAACTGTACCCTCGGTACACTTATGATACGATAAATAAAATAAAGGATATCATCTATATATATAAAAATGTAATGTTCGTTTGTGGAATTAACATAACTAAAAAATCACTGGACGAATTGACACCAAATTTGGACACAATACACCTATCAGGCCAACGAGTGACCATCACTCAAAAAATTGATTTTGTCATTTGGGAGTTGTAATTGCTGGGATTTATAGTTCACCTACAATCAAAGAGCATTCTGAACTCCACCAATGATGGAATTGAACCAATCTTGGGACAGAGAACTCCCATGCTGAACAGAATACACTAGAAGGGTTTGGTGGGCATTGACCTTGAGATTGGGAGTTGTAGTTCACCATCCAGAGAGCACTGTGGACTTAAACAATGATGGATCTGGACCAAACTTGGCACGAATATTCCATAGGCCCAAATATGCGCATAAATGGAGTTTGGGGAAAATAGACGTTGACATTTGGGATTTGTAGTTACTTTGATTTATAGTTCACCTACAATCAAAGATCATTCTGAACCCCATGAATGACAGAATTGGAGCAAACTTCCCACACAAAACCCCCATGATCAACAGGAAATACTTGAGGCCATCCAGTCCAACTCCCTTCACGAGGGCAAGAAAATGTAATCAAAGCCCTCCTGACAGAGAGCCATCCAGCCATAGATACAGATAGACATATAGGGAACGGAGTAATTCAGAAAGTCCCGAGTATAACATAATAGGAGCGGGAAATGAATGGAAGGCAAGACTATGGCAATTTAAAGCTATAATATATCAAACAGTCAACAATGAATTATGGGTTGATACTATGGCTGCTGAATGCGTCATGGAGGAGGGAGAGGCTTCCGTTAACCGGGGAGCCCCCATAGAAGTCGTGGTGGGGAGGGGGAGATACGGGAAAAGGAGACCTCTAATTCGGCCTAGGGAACGTGGAACAACATTAGTAATTCCAAGTCGGTCTCCTGATATGACAAGTTGGTGTAACCAGGATGGCGGTCCCTCCGAATTGAAAGTGGTGCTGTTGAACGCCAGATCTGTCAATGGCAAAACACCTTTCATCCAAGATTTAATTCTGGAGGAACGGGCAGATCTGGCGTGCATTACGGAGACCTGGCTGGATGAAGCTGGAGGAGTAAATTTGACCCAGCTTTGTCCACCAGGATTCTCCATACAGCACCAATCGAGACTCTGGAGGGCGGGGAGGCGGAGTTGCAGTGGTCTATAGAGATTCCATTCTTCTGACCAGGGCCCCCATCCCGCAGTCAACAAATTTTGAATGCGTCCACCTGAGGGTGGGTGACCAGGACAGATTAGGGATTCTGTTAGTGTACCGTCCACCTCGCTGCACTACAGTCTCCCTGCCTGAGCTAGCGGGGGTGGTCTCGGACCTGGCATTGGAGTCCCAACGGCTGCTTGTGCTGGGGGACTTCAATGTCCATGCCGAGACTACCTTATCGGGAGCGGCTCAGGACTTCATGTCTACCATGGCAACCTTGGGGCTGTCCCAACAGGTATCTGGCCCCACCCACAGTGCTGGACATACATTGGACTTGGTTTTCTGCCAGGGATGGGAGGAAGGTGGCGGTGTTGAGGAGTTATCCATCTCTCCGTTGCCATGGACCGACCACCACCTGGTCAGCTTTAGACTCACTGCACCCCCTAACCTCCGCAGAGGTGGAGGACCCATTAAGTTGGTCCGCCCCAGGAGGCTTATGGATCCGGATGGATTCCTGACGGCTCTTGGGGAATTTCCCGCCACCTCGGTTGGTGATCCTGTTGATGCCCTGGTCGCTCTCTGGAATGGGGAGATGACTAGGGCAATAGACACGATCGCTCCAGAACGTCCCCTCTCAAGTAGCCGAGCTAAACCAGCCCCTTGGTTCACTGAGGAGCTGGCAGCGTTGAAGCGAAAGAAGAGGGAACTAGAGAGCGTGTGGCGTTCGGATCCGAGCGAGCCAAATCGAACACGGTTTGTGTCCTTTTTAAGGGCATATGCCGCGGCAATAAAAGCCGCAAAGAAGACTTTCTTTGCGGCCACTATTGCGTCTGCAAAGAACCGTCCGGCTGAACTGTTCCGAGTTGTCAGAGGCTTGTTAAAACCCACCACTCAGGATGGGTGCCCTGATGACTCGGCAGCTCGCTGTGAAGCCTTTGCTCAGTTCTTTGCAGACAAAGTCGCTTTGATCCGCTCTGGACTGGATACCATATTAACGGCAGTCTCTGAGGATGTAACACGAGCATCTGCTTGTCCAATTTTGATGGATTCATTTCAATTGGTTCAATCCGAGGATGTGGACAAGGTGCTTGGAGGAATGAGAGCTACCACATGCATCCTAGACCCCTGCCCATCCTGGCTGATAAAAGAAGCCAGAGGGGGTTTGGCAGAGTGGCTGAAGGTGGTGGTTAATGCCTCCCTTCGGGAGGGCAAAATTCCAGCCAGCTTAAAGCAAGCTGTGATAAAACCGCTGTTGAAGAAACCATCACTGGACCCCACTCAATTCGTCAACTATCGGCCTGTTTCCAATCTCCCCTTTTTGGGCAAAGTCATGGAACGTGTGGTGGCCTCACACCTCCAGGCATTCTTGGTAGACACGGATTATCTGGATCCGGCACAGTCTGGCTTTAGGCCGGGGCATGGTACCGAGACAGCCTTGGTCGCCTTAGTGGATGATCTGCGTCGGGAGCTCGACAGGGGGAGTGTGTCCCTCTTGGTGCTGCTCGACCTCTCAGCGGCCTTCGATACCGTCGACCACGGTATCCTTCTGGGACGCCTCGCGGGGACGGGTCTTGGAGGTACTGTTCTGCAGTGGCTCCGCTCATTCCTCGAGGGTCGGTCTCAGAAGGTGTTACTGGGAGACTCCTGTTCAACCCCACAACCTTTGTCTTGTGGGGTTCCTCAGGGTTCAATACTGTCTCCCATGTTGTTTAACATCTACATGAAGCCGCTGGGCAAGATCATCCGGAGTTTCGGAGTGCGATGTCATCTGTACGCAGATGATGTCCAACTCTGTCACTCCTTTCCACCTGCTACTAAGGAGGCTGTCGAGGTCCTGAACCGGTGCTTGGCCGCTGTGACGGTCTGGATGGGGGCGAACAAATTGAAATTGAATCCAGACAAGACAGAGGTACTCCTGGTAAGTCGGAAGGCCGAACAGGGTATAGGGTTACAGCCTGTGTTAGACGGGGTCACACTCCCCCTGAAGACGCAGGTTCGCAGTTTGGGTGTGATCCTGGACTCATCGCTGAGCCTGGAACCCCAGGTTTCGGCGGTGACCAGGGGAGCATTCGCACAATTAAAACTTGTGCGCCAACTGCGACCGTACCTTGGGAAGTCTGACTTGGCCACGGTAGTCCACGCTCTGGTTACATCCCGTCTTGACTACTGCAATGCTCTCTACGTGGGGTTGCCTTTGAAGACGGCTCGGAAGCTCCAATTAGTCCAACGGGCGGCAGCCATGTTACTAACAGGAGCGGGGCGCAGGGAGCATACAACTCCTCTGCTGTACCAGCTCCACTGGCTGCCGATTTGCTACCGAGCTCAATTCAAAGTGCTGGCGTTGGCCTTTAAAGCCCTAAACAGTTCTGGCCCAACTTACCTATCCGAACGTATCTCGGCCTATCAGCCCACCAGGACCCTAAGATCTTCTGGGGAGGCCCTGCTCTCTATCCCGCCTGCTTCACAGGTGCGGCTGGCGGGGACGAGAGACAGGGCCTTTTCTGTGGTGGCCCCTCGGCTTTGGAACGCCCTCCCCATAGAGGTAAGATCAGCCCCTTCGCTGATGGTGTTTCGAAAAGACTGAAGACATGGATGTTCAAACAAGCATTCGGTTAACACGGTGCAACGAATCTGACGATCAAGGACTGGTAATCACAGACGATGAAATTGGACTGCATTTTTAACTAAGAGATGCATTGGTTCGATATTGGTGGCCCAATGTTGTATATTATGTATGTGTTTTTATGCTTTTTTTAATGCTTTTTATCTTGAATATTGTTGATTATTGTAATGTTGTAAACCGCGTTGAGTCGCCAATGTAGGCTGAGAAACGGCGGTATACAAGCGCAGTAATAAATAAATAATAAATAAATAAATTTACACACACACAGATATAGTATCCTAGATTTGAAAGGGACCCCTAAAGAAGGACAATGATATGTTGCATGTTCGAGTGGGCAAACCAGACACTCTCCACATCAACACTGACAAAGAAACAGCAAGAAATACTGTTTACCCACAAGCAGAATGAAATTACATATATTAGAAACCAACACTTTCTCATTACTTTATTTTCCAGATCACAGGACTGGGCCACAGCAATGCGTGGCAGGGGACGGCTAGTTTTTAATTAGTATAGCTGTATTCATTGAAGTCCATAAGTCATACTATATCCATTAAAATCCAAACAATAACCTGCTTTCATAGAACCAACACATACATCCACCTCCAATGAGGTGGTGAGCAGACTGAATAAAAATGGAGTCCTGAGTCTGAACATACTCATTAAAATCACATGTCTATAGCTCCTCCCACACCCAAGAAGTCAGTCATACTGGCAAATCAACATATACATAGAATACAGGTTAGCAAATATATACATTAATGCATAGTGAAAGGCTTGGGAGGTTGCTATTTCCAACAAAAACTGCCTTCAGTGCCTTCACAGAAAAAAAAAACGATATGACAGAAATGTGAAAAAAATTAACACATTCCCCTTGCATGCTGAACTTTTTTCCCTACAATAAATATTCTGCATACTGAAAAAAGAGGGCCAGCATGATATAGTGGCTTGAATTTTGAACTCTCAGTTCTGGAGACCAGGGTTTGAGTCCCCATTCAGCCATGGAAACCAATTTGGTGATCTTGGCCAAGTCACACTCTCTCAGCCTCAGAGGAAAAGCAATGGCAAACTCCGTTTTTTGCTGTGAAATCTCTGTGGCTGGTTCACTTTAGAATCACCATAAGTCAGAAATAACTTGAAACCATGCAACAATATACAAGGATTGAATGAAAAATAATGCCTCCACCTTTGTAACTCCTCAACAGATGGCAGTACTCGAATTCTTGTTCTATTATTTTCTGTCTTAATGTCTCTACAAATTTACTTTTGGTGCAATTGGGAGCATAAATGTTGACAAGTAAAATTTTGCAACCTTTTATATCTATGTTACTTCCCAACATTCTCCCCTCTTGATCTCTGAAGGCTAGTGATGATGTTAGTTTCTCATTTATATACATTACAACCCCTCTCTTTTTCTCCAGACCAGATGCATAATATATCTTCCCCAGTGTTTTATTAACTAAGTGCGCTGTGTGTTTTTGTGTGATGTGTGTTTCTTGTAATTAAATAACATCATAATGACCTTTTTTTATGTGGTGCCAAATCTTTGTTCTTTTATTCGGAGAGTTTAATCCATTTACATTATTTGAGAAGATTTTAATTCTCTGAATCATATGCATCTTCAGTTTCTTTTTCCGTTCCCGAGTGTTCCATTGCCATATCCGAGTAGAAAGTGTAATCTTTTGGGGACTTCTTCCTTGGTCTCTTCCTTTTCTTTTTAATTAGTTCCTTTCCGTCTTTTGGTGAGATCTCTTTTCTTGATTCATTTTCTTTGTATTCTTTCTTTTGCTGGCTCTCTTCATCTTTCTCTTGTTTACCTTTTTCCTTGTTTTGTTTGTCTTCTTTTTTATATATTTTTCCCAAAATAATTTCGCTTTGGCTTCTGATGTTATCCAATGTTTCACTCCTTTCCAAGTTGACATCAGACCTTCCCTCAGTTCCCATTAGAACCTAATGTTCTGTCTTTTAATTCATCCGTCAAAAATAGTATTTGCATCTTCTTTCTACTATCACTCAGAGAGAAATTACAAGCATTCCACAAGAACCTTTGGGTCACATTATTGCTTTGCTTGGCTATTGGAGGATCTGTGCACAATGGGTTGCGGAAACAGAGTGTCAACTTCTTCCGTGACGGCTTCAGAAAACTTTTTCATTGTTGACAGAAATGTATCCAATTGTCTGGTGATTATGTGGGAAAATGAATAGTGGTAGTTAAAGAGCACATTCTTTGGATTATTTCTGCATTTGATTTATTAAAATATTCCCATCCAAACTCAAGTAACAAAGGTGGAGGCATTACTTTTCATTCAACCCTCGTAGGATCTTAAGAGTCAGATCAAGAACACATTTGCCCCTTGATTCTACAAAGCATATAAAATGCTCCTGATTTATCCCAGGGGATTTTTCCTTGGATGTAGCTCTATATCATGCAGTATCCTATTAACAGTTCTACTCGCTTGGTGGAGAAAACAGTCTCCGAATTGATCTGTTTGATTTCCAGGAGCCACAAGGGAAGCTTAGTCCACCTTACATTCTTGAATCCCACAGGTTGGTGAGTGTCGGGGGCGATGGTACTTTCAATGAGATCATGCATGCCTTGCTTGACCGGACACAAAGAAAAGCAGGAGTTCCAGATGATGACATTGAGGCCGAGCTACTGTCCCCAAGACTGAGAATTGGGATCATACCTGCAGGTAAGGAGACTGGGAACAGGGACTTTACTTTTGAAGGCTGTGGACCAAAATTAACAGTGAAGTGCAGGAAAGCAGAAGCAGGACGGGGACATAGTTAAGATTTGGCTCTTCCCGTTTGTGAAAAAAACAGAAATGCAGACAGAAGTGCAAGCTGTCCTTTTTATGTTGTCTTTCATTTCTACCTCCAGGTTCTACAGACTGTGTGTGTTTTGCTACGGTAGGAACAAACGACCCTGTCACCTCCGCTCTGCACATCATCATAGGTGCTTGTTCTTCACTTTTTACCACTTATCCAACCTTCCCACTAAATTCCATAATATTCAGCTCAGTAGAGGATGGGGCATTGGCATTGTCTTTGCAGGGCAAATTGTAACATGGATTATTAAGATGATCTTCTTAGGCTGAAGATCCTGCTTCAGAGCTAGATAACCACATACCCAGGGGCAGCTGAAGCAATAGGCAAGCTACGCATTTGCGTAGAGCGCGAATCCTCAAGGGGCGCTCTTGAGGCACCCCCAGGGGCAAAGGGAATGCCTTGATGTGGGGCAAAAATGGTGTTGAAAAAGCTTTCAGTGCTGGAGTGGCATTCCTGGGCAACCAGCTGGTCCACTCGCTAACCATCCAGCAACAACAACAACAGGCAGAGCCTTCGAGCCAGCTGGGGGAGACGGGGGCAAGGCCGGCTGAAAGGGATGCTGGGAGTTGGGAGTCCCGTTGCTTGGCGGCCACTTGCAAAGGGTGGCCGCTGAGCAACGGGACTCCCAACTCCGAGGGAGCCGCGCAGTAGCAGAGATTGTGGGCGGAGTATTTCCTGAAGGAGGGGAATGAATGGATGCTGGAGGAAAGTAAGTGGGAGATGTCGCTGGGAAGTAAAGTAAAATGCCGAGGAGGAGCAGAAGAAGGCAAAGGGATTTGGGAGGAACTTTAAGGCCAACCCAAAGATCTTCTTGCATAGGAAGCGTGTAGGGCCCTTCCCCACAGCCCTATATCCCAGAATATCAAGGCAGGAAATCCCACATTATCTGAATGTGGACTCAGATAGCTCAGTTCAAAGCTGCACATACCTCTACTAAAACAGAGTTTTTGCTTGCTTTGCCTGGTTCAGGAGACCAGAGAGAAACTTGTTTGTCTCCTTTAGCAATTTCACCTTCACATACACATATGAGTTTGTAAGGATGTGGGAGACAGAACTGTGCTGCCGAGCACCAGGTTTTGCTGAGAAATGCAAACCCAGATCTAAGATCTCCTTTGTTAGTAAAGATGCATGCTTTTTCTCCCTTTTTTCTGATGAAAAGCCTTTCATGTCCCGAAAACTGCGCTGCTTTGGGGGAAGGAGGCATTCACTTTGTAATCTTTAGTCTTCAGCAGCCATTCTTTATGATTTCCAGGAGACGCCCAGCCTCTTGATGTTTGCAGCATTTGGCACAATGGAAAGCGCCTGCGCTACTCAGTCTCCCTCGTTGGTTATGGCTTCTATGGTGATGTTGTCAGCACTAGCGAGAAGCACCGTTGGATGGGTCCAGTGCGCTACACATATGCAGGTACAGTTGGATGAGGAGAAAAGTGTACAGTGATGCAGGGATGAGTGTGCAGTGAATAAATAACTGTGGCAGACTGAAATCCTTTTCGTTAGTGATGAAAGGGACCAACAGCTCAGTAGCAGAGCCAGTGTAGTGTAGTGGTTTAAGACTACAACTCTGGTGACCAGGATTTGATTTCCCGTTCAGCCATGGTAAACCTGGGAAATTCACACATTCTCGGCTCCATAAAACTCTGTGATATGTTCTCCTTAGGGTTACCATAACTCAGAAACAACTTGAAGGCACATAATAACAACAGCAAGCTCAGTAATATGACAGATGGGTTGTTGTAGGTTTTTCGGGCTATATGGTCATGTCCTAGAAGCATTCTCTCCTGACGTTTCATCTGCATCTATGGCAGGCATCCTCAGAGGTAATGCGGTCTGTTGGAAACTAGGAAAATTGCGTTTATATATCTGTGGAATGTCCAGGGTGGGAAAAAGAAATGATCAAGGGTCTGGAGAACAAGCGCTATGAGGAGCGGCTTAAAGAGCTGGGCATATTTAGCCTGAAGACGTGAAGACTGAGAGGAGACATGATAGCCGTGTATAAATATGTGAGAGGAAGTCATAGGGAGGAGGGAGCAAACTTGTTTTCTGCTGCCCTGGAGACTAGGACGCAATGGAACAATGGCTTCAAGCTACAAGAAAGGAGATTCCATCTGAATGTTCTCTGCGCTGGAGTGTGGTGAGGCTCATTCTTTGGAGGATTTTAAGCAGAGGCTGGATGGCCATCTGTCAGGGGTGCTTTTAATGCAGGGGTGCTTTTTTTCCTGCTTCTTGGCAGGAGGTTGGACTGGATGTCCTGGACTGTGAGAGCTGTTCAGCAGTGGAACTCTCTGCCCTGGAGTGTGGTGGAGGCTCTTTCTTTGGAAGCTTTTAAACAGAATTTGGATGGCCATCTATCGGGGGTGCTTTGAATGCAATTTTCCTGCTTCTCAACAGGGGGTTGGACTGGATGGCCCATGAGGTCTCTTCCAACTCTATGATTCTAGTCTGTTGGAGCTAGGTGCAAATGTTTCAATTGGCCACCTTGATTAGCATTTGATGGCCTGACAGTTTTTAGGTGTGGCTTGTTAGTGCCTGGGGGAATCCTTTGTTGAGAGGTGATTAGCTGTCCCTGATTGTTTCTTGTCTGGAGTTCCCTGTGTTTGAGTGCTGTTTTACTGGTATAATCAGTTTTTAATTAGTTTTTCTTTTAATCATTACGTGTAGCCTGCCTATTGTCACTGTGATTGTGTTTACTGCAATTTTGTATCGTTATGCATTCATATGTTTTATGTAATTATGTTGTTTATTGTTTTCATTTTTGGTTTTATTTTGCTGTAATTTGTTGTTTGGGCTTGGCCTCATGTAAGCCGCCCCGAGTCACCATCGGGGAGATGGTGGCGGGGTATAAATAAAGATGATTATTATTATTATTATTATTATTATTATTATTATTATTATTTTCTAACCGTTGGCAGTTGTGGAAGGATCTTTGAAAATTCAAATTACACTCCTTATGCACTTATGTCTATGATAATAAATGTGATTGATGGGTAATTTACTGTTTGTCACAAAGTTTGTGTAGCTAGGGAGCGAATGAGATCCTTAGGAGAATATGGTATTTGTCAGAGATCTCCAGAATAAAGCGAAACTACCAGCAAACTACCAGCCTGTCTTTATAATTCTCCCAGGAGCCAAGGCAGTACTAAGCAACCGCAGCTATGAAGGCACAGTAGAGTTCCAGTTGGCTAGGACAGAGGAGTCCAACCCACGGGATCAGCAGCGCTGTCGTTCAGGGTAAGTCAGTGTTTCTCAACCTGGAGGTCGGGACCCCTGGAGGGGTCACCAGGGGGCATCAAAGGGGTTGCCAAAGACCATCAGAAAGCATAGTATTTTCTGTTGGCCATGTGGGTTCTGTGTGGGAAGTTTGTCCCAATTCTGTCATTGGTGGAGTTCAGAATGCTCTTTGATTGCAGGTGAACTATAAATCCCAGCAACCACAAGTCCCAAATGTCAAGGTCTATTTTCCCCAAACTCCACCAGGGTTCACATTTGGGCATATTGAGTATTTGTGCCAAGTTTGGTTCAATTCCATCATTGGTGGAGTTCACAGTGCTCTCTGGATGTAGGTGAACTACAACTCCAAAACTCCCGGTCAATGCCCATCAAACCCTTCCAGTATTTTCTGTTCGTCATGAGAGTTTGTGTCCCAAGTTTGGTTCAGTTCCATCATTGGTGGAGTTCAGAATGCTCTTTGATTGCATGTGAACTATAAATCCCAGCAACTACAACTCCCAAATAACAAAAGCAATCCCTCCCCAACCCCACCAGCGTTCAGATTTGGGCGTATTGGGTATATTTGTGCCACATTTGGTCCAGTAAATGAAAATACATCCTGCATATCAGATATTTAAATTACCTTTAACAACAGTAGCAAAATTACAGTTATGAAGGAGCAACGAAAGCAATTTTATGGCTGGGGGTCACCACAACATTAGGAACTGTATTAAGGGGTCGTGGCATTAGGAAGGTTGAGAGACACTGGGGTAAGTAGAGGGGAGGGAACTGTGTCAATTGGAGCAGCTGAAAAAATAAAGTGACGGGAGGACTAGAGCATCTTGTAACATCTGCGTCTCCTTCTTTTCCAGCTGCATGGTGTGCTCAGACTCCAGTAAAAACCTGTTATCTGGAAGCAAGGAAGAAAACCTACTTGTGCTGGAGCAATCTCCAGGTAATAGGACTGGAAGACCCAATGTAGAATAATAATAATAATAATAATAATAATAATAATAATAATAATAATAGTCCCCAGGGGGACTTGGGGCGGCTTACATGAGACCACGCCCATCAGTACAATAAACACAATATTACACAGAAGCATAACAAAATCAGAAAATAAAATACATAAAATGCAAATCCAATATAATAGACGACAAGCGCTATAAAATCAAACATTAAAACACAAAGGAATTACACTTTTATTAATTACAATTTTATTAATCAGGAAGGTGAGGAAGAGACTTTATCGGAGGTTTAGCACAGCTGGTAAATCATCAGCAATTATAAGATCAATCAATCAAAAGATTTCAAGTTCGAAGCCCCAGGTTGGCGTGAGCTGCCAACTCTCAGCCTAGCTCATTGTTTGCCTAAGCAATCCGAAAATAGCTTTAGCTGTGATTAGAGAAATTAGGTACGCTGAAAATAGCAGGGGAGGTGTTTTACGATGCCATGAAGAAAGATCAGAAAATGCTGGGCGACCAAAAGGAAGGAGGAAGTCCTGATGGCTCTTTGTCATAGAGGAAAGAGCAACATCACCCCCTGGACTCGAGCCCAACCTTCCATGACACCTCCTTCTGTTCTGTCTGTGTATTTTCTATACCAGGGGTCCTCGAACTTTTTAAACAGAGGGCCAGATCACAGTCCCTCAGACAGCTGGAAGGCTGGATTATAATTTGAAAAAAAATGAATGAATTCCTATGCACATTGCACATATCTTATTTGTAGTGGAAAAAAACCACTATAAAACAATACAGTAATTAAAATGAAGAACAATTTTAACAAATATAAACTTATCAATGGGAAGTGTGGGCCTGCTTTTGGCTAATGAGATAGGATTGTTGTTGTGTGCTTTCAAGTAGTTTCAGACTTAGGTTGACCCTGAGCGAGGGCCGGGTAAATTACCTTGGAGGGCCGTATCCGGCCCGCGGGACGTAGTTTGAGAACCCCTGATCTATACAAAGCAGCATTAAATGTTTGCCGTGTATGTGTACTGTGATCCGCCCTGAGTCCCCTTCGGCGTGAGAAGGGCGGAATATAAATTATTATTATTATTATTATTATTATTATTATTATTATTATTATTATTACTGGAGTACCCCCATTTCTGGGCTGAGCAGACTGTGATGCAGTACTTCCCCTATGACAGTTCACAGTAGGAATTAATTGCCTGTTCTATGTGCATGGGGATTTTGTTGTTGTTGTTGTTCTTAATCTCCTGCCAGAAGGGTTTAATAAACGAGCCAGGGCTTATTCCTGAAAATAGCCTTTAAATGCCAGGGCTTGGCTGCAGCACCTGAGAAGTAATAGAAGAAAGGCCTCCTTACCTAATAACAAGGATAGGGAACTTACATTGGAGCTCTATTGTCTAAGCAGCTCATCAATCGCATTAAAACCCAGGCAGTATAAGCACTCCCTTCCTGTACTCTCTTCCTTGCTGGTCTCCTTCTGCAGATGGTGAATGGCAGCGAGTCCAAGGTCGCTTCCTAGCCGTCAATTTGACAAGCATGAGCAGCGCCTGCCCGAAGAGTCCCGAGGGTCTCTCGCCCTGTGCCCACCTGGCTGACGGAACAGCCGACCTCATCCTGGTGCACGAATGCCCCACGTTCTCCTTCTTGCGGCATCTAACTCGCCACACCAATTGCTCAGACCAGGTATGGCGAGCTGTCTCCAAAGAGACTCCCCTTCTCTTTACCTCTCGAGTGGTCAGCAAGTCTCCAAAAACCTATGATTGCACCCTCATAGCCACAACTCTGCACAGAGTTGCCTGCAGTTTCAAAACAAAGTTGAGCATGTATATTTATGTTCCCATCTGGAAGGAAAGCATCCTATTTTCGTCCTATAACCTGAATGTCTTTTACTGAAAACACATTTATTTACTTATTTATGACATTTATATGCCGCCCTTCTCACCGCAAAGGGGACTCAGAGTGGCTTACAAAATATATATGCATACAACTAGCTGTGCCCTGCCACGCGTTGCTGTGGCCTATAGTAAGAATTTTCGAAGTAGAGGTAGATATCTGGACTATTATTCCTTCCCCCCTTTTTCTTCCCCTTCCCCTTTCTCTCCTTTCTTCCTTCTCTACCTCTTTCTTTCATTCCTTCTTTCGCTCTTTGGTTTCATCCTTCTCTCTTTCCTTCCTTCCCTCCCCCTTTCTCTACTTCTTCCTTTGTCTCCTTTCTTCCCTCCCTGTTTCCTTCCTTCTTTCACTTTTTATTTCCTTTTCTCCTTCCTTCTTTCTTTACCTCTTTACTGCATTTCACTCCCTTTTCTTTCCTTTCTACTTTCTCTTCTTCCTTCCTTCGATACCTCTTTCTTTCCTTCCACCTTTCCCTCTTTCTTTCCCTCCCTCCTTCTCTTTCCTTCCTTCCCCCTTTCCCTCCTTCATTCCTTCCCTTTTCCCCTCCCTCCTTTCTTCTCTCCTTCCTTCCTGTCTGTTCTCCCCCAATACCATGGTAGAGTCCCTTCTAACTCTATTCTAACATTATCTTATATAGTAGTATATATAACAATAATATATATGTATTATATAGCAATATATATAATATTAATATATAAAGTATTGTGTATGTGTGTGTGTGTGTGTGTGTGTATATATATATAAATACGCACACACATACACACACCAACCAGTGATCCAACATCCATCCATATGTGTGTGTGTGCATGCATGTGTGTCTACACTGCCATATAATCCAGTCCTAAGTAGATAATCTGGATTTTACATGGCAGTGTGGAAGGGTTGACTTTGGGTGCATCTACACTGTAGATTTAATAAAGGAGGATGAAGCTGGTGAGGGGAGGAGAAAAAGGAAAGAAAGAAAGGGAGGAAGGGAAGGGAGGGAAGGAGAAGGAAGGGAAGTAGAGAAAGGGAGGGAGGGAAGGAAGGAAGAAGGGAGGGAAGGAGTAAAGGAAGGAGAAGGAAGGGAAGTAGAGAAAGGGAGAAAGGGAAGGAAGGGGGAAGGAGGGGGTTGGACTGGATGGCCTTTAGGGCTCCCTTCCAACTGGTTGGCCATCTGTTGTGAGGGCTTTGATGGTGTCTTCCTTTACTGCCAAATGAGTTGGGCTGGATGGTCTTTGGGGCTCCTTTCCAAGCAATGTCAGTTTTGTGTCCCTATTACCCCCATCATGGCACCTTCCTCTTTCTCTTGTGCTGTCGGAGTGTGTGAGGGACAGAGAGTCAGAGTGTGTGCACAGAGTGTGGCCCACCTCCCTCTATTCATTCCCCCCTCCTCTCTCTCTCCTCTCCCTCCTCCTTCTCCTCAGCCTCTGCCCTTTCATCCCTTGCCTTAGTGTTAGTTAGGGGCCGAGAGACATGAAGGGAGCAGCAACCATTGCCGCTGCTCTGGAACCCTCATTCTGTGTCCTCAGCGCGAGGTGGGGGGACAGGGGAGGTGTGTTGTCGTCTTCCTTTTTCGAATTTAAAGGTGGTTTTGTGGGGGTTTTTTTCAGTGATGGTCACTCCTTGGATTGTGAGTTTTGTTGCCAAATTTGGGGTCATTTGGCCCTGTCGTTTTTTTGTTTTTAAGATACTCATTACGGACAGAGCATTTTTACATATATAGGTATATTGTAATGTTATTAGTAATGTTACATGTAATATAAAATATATAGTTATAATGTTGTATTATTATTGTATTACATTATAATATTATATGTATATACATTATATTATATTATATTATATTATATTATATTATATTATTATATTATATTAGTAGTAAAGCACAGGATACAAGATGGAACTGTCTTCTGCCCCCCTCTCGCTTTACTCTTCATTCACTTGTACACCCACCTTTCCCCCAAACACCTCCCTGAAATAGAAATCTTAGTTCCGCAGCTGAGTTAGAAGCCTTGTCTCAATGTAAACTGTATGCAGGTATTTTGTGTAGACTGGTAGGCCTTGCACTAAGCAAAATGGAAAAGGTTTTCTGGTAATGCAATAGATCAGCTCCTCCCTCTTCTTCTTGTGTTGGAGTAGTTAGGAAGGGGATGAGAACTCCAAATGCTTTGACATACAAGTTCCATCATATCCACATAGCATAGTTAGTAGTAAGGGCTATAGGGAGTTGTGGTCTGGAACATTTGGAGAGCAAGAATTAGGAGATTTTGGTCATATGTGCTATAAGCAGAATTAGAGAGCGCACCAGGAGATGTAGCTACAACGAAAGAGGTCTATTGTTGTAGCCATGTCTTGCAATGCCATTCACCCACCCCAAAAAATACCTTTCCAGCAGCACCCAAAGAAGGACTTCCAAGGTGTTGGTGGGTAGGATAGTGCTAATGCTTTTGCCTTCTCACATCACTTTGTGGCAGGCAGCTGTAACAGAGATTTCCTACAATGGTGCAACATCTAACAACATCAGAACTATTCCAATCTGAGTTTCTTTTGTTGAATATGCTTTTATGTTTTCCTCAGTTTGACCTGCCCTTTGTGAGTGTGTATCGAGTCCGGGCTGTTCGCTTTACCTCCTCAAAAGTAGAGGACTGTGAGGAAGGGGAGGTAGCTGTGCAAGAATCCAAGGGGCTCTGCAGAAAAGCGTGTCAAGTGAAGGCGCCTGTGAGCTGCTGGACCTGTGATGGCGAGACCTTGACTTATCCGGACATCAGCATCAGGTAAGGCCTCTGATTGAGTGTGGCAAGCATTGTGCTGCTGAATTGGTGGGACACTGATGGAGGTACAATGCCCCATAGGAATGGAGTTGGTAGACGAGATCTGAATGAAGAACTGTGGCTCCTTCCAGTTTGGTTTGGGGACTCTGGACAATGATGGGTATCTGCAGAATGAGCTGGGTCATTGTGTTTCAACACAACAGAAGTGATATCATGTCACCTTCAGCCTCCACCCACCCACCCACCCATCTATCTATCTGTTTATTTCCTTTATTTATACCCCACCCTTCTCCCCCTGAAAGGGGACTCAGGGCAGCCTAACAAAAGCATCGTACAATGCTATCTGAACCAATTGTTACTATTGTTTATTTGTTCAGTCGTTTAGACTCTTCGTGACTTCCTGGACCATCCCACACCAGAACTCCTTGTTGGCCATGGCCACCTCCAGCTCCTTCAAGGTCAAGCAAGATGGATAGCATCAATCCATCTTGCCCTTGGTTGGCCCCTCTTCCTTTTTCCTTCTATTTTCCCCAGCATCATTGTCTTCTCCAGGTTTTCCTTTCTTTTCATGATGTGGCCAAAGTACTTCATCTTGGCCTCTAATATCCTTCCCTCCAATGAGCAGTCGGGCTTTATTTCCTGAAGTATGGACTGGTTGGATCTTCTGGCAGTCCAAGGCACTCTCAGAACTTTCCTCCAACACCACAGGTTCAAAAGCGTCTGTCTTCCTTCGCTCAGTCTTCCCTATAGTCCAGTTCTCGAATCCATAGGTTACTACGGGGAATACCATTGCTTTAACTATGTGGATCTTCATTACGAGTATGATGTATGAACCCACATTTCTGTGTACGAACCCACGTGATCTCTTTAATCATCTGGAGAGGCCCTGCTGTCGCTCAAACCTCCTTCGCAGGTGTGATTGGTGGGGATGAGGGAGAGGGCTTTCTTGGTGGTGCCCCCCTGACTCTGGAACTCACTTCCCAAGGATATCAGACATGCCCCAACTCTGGTGCACAAGCTTCAATTGTGCGAAGGCCCTCTCAGCCACCACCAATGCCTGAGCTTCAAGCGTCAGTGCTTAATCTAGGAGGACACCCAAGCTGTGGACCTGTGACTTCAGGGGGAGTGCAGCCCCGTCAAGCACAGGTTGCCACCCTACACCTCGATCCAGCCTACAATTGACCTGGAAGACCTCTGTCTTGTCAGGATTGATCCTCAGCTTATTCTTCTTCATCCAGACTGTTACAGCGGTCAGGCACTTGTCCAGCACCCGAGGGGCTTCCTTGGAATTAGGTGGAAAGTAGTAGTAGAATTGGGCATCATCCGCATAGAGGTGGCACCGAACTCCTTTGCCTCTTTGGAGGGTACCCTGCCTACTGCAGTGGCAGTCCTGGTCCCCATTTGTTTCTGCTGTTGATACTTCTAGGATAGGCAAAAGTGCACCCCACTGCAGCCCCTGGTGAATCCTTGTGAATCCTGGTGAATCCTCTGCTAAAGACTTGACTTGCTTTTGCTGTTCCGCTTATTATATTGGTTTTGCATTTATGTATTTTATTTTCTGGTTTTGTTATGCTTTTGTGCTATATTGTGTTACTGTATTGTTGGGCGTGGCCTCATGTAAGCTGCACCAAGTCCCCCTGGGGGAGATGGAGCGGGGTGAGAGCCGTTCAGCAGTGGAACTCTCTGCCCCGGAGTGTGATGGAGGCTTCTTCTTTGGAAGCTTTTGAACAGGGGCTGGATGGCCATCTGTCAGGGGTGATTTGAATGCAATATTCCTGCTTCTTGGCAGGGGGTTGGACTGGATGGCCCATGAGGTCTCTTCCAACTCTTTGATTCTATGATTCTATAAATAAAGTATTATTATTATTATTATTATTATTATTATTATTATTATTAAGAGAAAGACTTGATATGGTTAGCAAGTTCTCCCCAAGGACTTGGGTCGGGCTAGAAATTATGACATAGATTGCAAGTCCCTGCTTCAAGTCCTATTTGTTCTTTCTCTCCTCAGAGTGCACAAGAGCCTTATCCACCTCTTTGCCCGGGGCATTGAACGGGCACCCTGCATCTCGTAGAAGCGTCTGATCAGAAGAGCCTTTCTGAACAGGAAGGTAGCACAACAGTGTGGCTGCGGCAGAGGATCCATGAGGCATCCGCCATAAGAAAGCCACTACCTGAGTATCTTTCAGGTATAAATCGCCAAAGGCCCAGCCAGGATGCTATGTCTGCACCAGCGAGTGCAAAACTACACAAGCAAAGGGACTAGTCTTGGACTTTCCTATCCGGTTGTAGAAGTGCCAACTACCATCCCTTATTTTACTTGTTCTCATCTGAAAAGGGGCAGCTGTGTGGCTCTAAAGACCTGAAGGGTTTCACTATTGATGGTTTTCAATACCAGCTATTCAGCCATAGTGGGACTCCGGTGCCAGTCTAAATGAAGATGTTGGGTTTGCAGGCAGAGCAGAGCAGTCTTCTGTCAGGTTTGGCTAATCCAAAGAAATACAATGACAAGGAATATTGGTAAATGTTTCCATTTACAGAACAGCATTGCGTACAAAATTGAAAAGCAGAACAAACAGGAATGTAACAAGTAAATGCAGCAACAGCAGAACTAGTGCAATTGACAGAGCGGCTGGGAAAACCGGTGTGGGTCTGAGAGGAACCCGTCTCCACACTCCTTAGAGAAGCAGAGGCTGGAATGGGGCATCTGGTCCACTTGTTGCCAGTTCTGTAGGAGACACTGGACAACGGAGGTACCTGCCGTGTTCAAGGTCCATGAGGAGGAGAAAGGAGATGGCTGGCAGCCAGCCCTCACCACCCACAAAGAAACCCAAGCGATACTGGGGAGTGCACTGGAGCCAACACTCAGTAGGTACTCAGTAGGACGAAAGACCCACTTTGCAGATGTGATCCGCAGGACAGCCCACTGGCTGGCAGAACCATTTTGGCTTTTGCAGAAAGGAGTGGAGCAGAAGAAAGGAAGTGTCACCACCCTAAGCGAGACCACCCCTGCCGGCTGCCTTCACAGTTTGTGAGGGTTGACCCAGCGGTAAGTGCCTTCATACTGGAATCCAACCTCCTTCATCAGCTCATCAGCTTCTGTGGGCCCACGGCTAGAAAAGAAAAAGACTCCAAGTTAATAGGACTGAAAAGTGGGGGCACAAGTAAACACTAGTTTTTCTCTTTCATAAAAATACTAGTTTTTCTCTTTCATAACTTTTCACAGGTTTAGGCGAATTACAGTTTGTTGCCATACGGACTGATTGTTGGCCAAGAAGCACATTAAATTATTACAAATTGACCAACATGCTGTTCTCTGCCTTTGTTTGTTTTGTTTTTTTTACTATATAATATCCCAGAGTACTTGTAAGGTGTCAGCACAAACACGAAACAATTACGCATAGATTGTTTTGTGTTGGTGCTGTTTGTTTTTTTAGTCAAAATCAGTGAAATGAAGCACAACGGTTGAGTCCCCTTCGGGGTGAGAAAGGCGGGGTATAAATAAAATTAATTAATTAACTAATTTGGTCTGAATACTTCCTTCTACGGATTCCTGAGCAACATTACAACAGATATTGTCGAAGGATTTCATGGCTGGAATCACTGGGTTGTTGTAGGGTTTTTTCGGGCTATATGGCCATGTTCTAGAGCAGTGGTTCTCAACCTGGGGTCCCCAGATGTTTTTGGCCTTCAACTCCCAGAAATCCTAACAGCTGGTAAACTGGCTGGGATTTCTGGGAGCTGTAGGCCAAAAACATCTGGGGACCCCAGGTTGAGAAACACTGTTCTAGAGGCATTCTCTCCTGACGTTTCGCCTGCATCTATGGCAAGTGTCCTCAGAGGTAGTGAGGAGAGGCAAGCATCCTCACTACCTCTGAGGAAGCTTCCCATAGATCAGTGTTTCTCAACCTGGGGGTCGAGACTCCTGGGGGGGTTGTGAGGGGGTGTTAGAGGGGTCGCCAAAGACCATCAGAAAACATAGTATTTTCTGTTGGTCATGGGGGTTCTGTGTGGGAAGTTTGGCCCAATTCTAGTGTTGGTTGGGTTCAAGATGCTCTTTGACTCTACATGAACTATACATCCCAGCAACATAACTCCCAGATGGTAATGTCTATTTCCCCCAAACTCCTCCATTGTTCACATTTGGGCTTATTGAGCATTCGTGCCAAGTTAGGACCAGATCCATTATTGTTTGAGTCCACAGTGTTCTCTGGATGGAGGTGAACTACAACTCCCAAACCAAAGGACACTGCCCACCAAACCCTTCCAGTATTTTCTGTTGGTCATGGGAGTTCTGTGTACCAAGTTTGGTTCAATTCCATCCTTGGTGGAGTTGGGAATGCTCCTTGATTGTAGTGAACTATAAATCCCAACAACTACAACTCCCAAATGACAGAATCAATCCCACCCGAACCCCACCAGTATTCAAATTTGGGCGCATCAGGTATTTGTGCCAAATTTGGTCCAGTGAATAAAAATACATTTAGCAAATCAGATATTTGCGTTATGAAAATAATGTTATGGTTGGGGGTCACCACAACATGAGGAACTGTGGGTTGCTGTAGGTTTTTTCGGGCTATATGGCCATGGTCTAGAGGCATTCTCTCCTGGTGTTTCGCCTACATCTATGGAGAGAATGCCTCTAGACCATGGCCATATAGCCCGAAAAAACCTACAACAACCCAGTGATTCCGGCCATGAAAGCCTTTGACAATACAATGAGGAACGGTATTAAGGGGTCGCGGCATGAGGAAGGTTGAGAACCACTGCCATAGATGCAGGCGAAATGTCAGGACAGAATGCCTCTAGAACATGGCCATATCGCCCAAAAAAACCTACAACATCCCATTACAACAGATTATCACACCTCCTGTGCAAAAGTGGATTAATTAGGCAGTGTAACATTTTCCAAAAATATTATCCTGGCTGAGTCAGACACCTCTGACAAACTAGTATGCCTCAACTTTGCTGCCTAGTTTGTTTTTGTTTAATATTCTGCTATTTCTGGTAGGGAGTCGGAATAATGCACTAATATAAGCCTGGCCAACTTACGTTTTCCATGTTGGGAAAACAAGGACATAGGGATGCCTATGTCCTTGTTTTCCCAACAAGGAAAACATAAGACATAGGATTTTTTTTCCATGTCAGGAGTGACTTGAGAAACTGCGAGTTGCTTCTTCTGTGAAAGAAATGACTTTCTGCAAGGATGTTGCCCAGGGGATGCCCGGATGTTTGATGTTTTACCATCCTTGTGGGAGGTTTCTCTCATGTCCCCGCTTGGGAAGCTGTAGCTGACAGAGGGAGCTCAACCCGCTCTCCCCAGATTCAAACCGCAGAAGTCCTGCCAGTACAAGGGTTTAACCCATTGTACCATTTTATGAAAGGAGCCACCGCAAAGCTTCCAGAGAGGTCGCTGTGTCTACTAGATACTCCTCAGCTATAGGAAAGCTAGCAGGAAGCAAAATGAGAATGGCTCTTATGTTTTTGACAGATCTATTCTACAGCCTGATTTCAAACCAAGTACAATTTTATTACACTTCCACACCTGGGTAGATGAAATTTCTCCCCACCCAAATCCACGCTAGCCTTACCTGCCGTAGCGATAAGAAATGGGTTTGGTTTTCTCTGTCTCAATCTTGTGGAGCAGTGGAGTGAAAATACGCCAGGCCTCGCGCAGCTCATCACTGAGGAGAGAAGAACACGGTAAGTTTGATCCAGAGCAGCAACCAAAAGGTTTTCTGCCAAGACAGGAAGACTGGATATCATTCACTACCAATTGACCAAACCTTCCCTTTCCAAGATTCATTCAAATGTTTAACACAAGGGGGGATTGAACATAATCCCTTAGATACATTGTGGTTATAAAGTGCCCCTGTATGTTAAACATTTAACATACAGGGTCACATAATAATAATAATAATAATAATAATAATAATAATAATAATAATAATCTTTATTTGTACCCCGCTAACATCTCCCGAAGGATTTGGTGCAGCTTACAAGGCCAAGGCCCTCAATAAAACAACAGCATAACAAATACAATAATAAAACTCATAAAGCAACCAATAAACATTAAAGCAATAACAGTAAAACATTAAAAACAATACATCATGACACATTTAAAACTAGGGCCAGGCCAAATGTAATGACTAAAATTAAAAGTGCTGACATGACAGGTGAAATGTAAGGATTTTAGGGTAGGCGCGATGTGCAGGCAATCTTAAATCTCTAGTAAAGTGCATTTGGGACATGATGCTGGGAGTTTCCTATTCTGGAAAGGCACACTCAAACAGCCAGGTCTTCAAGCTCTTCCTAAAGACTGCCAACGTTGGGGCTTGAATCGGAGAGCTACCACAGAGAAGGCCCTGTCCCTCGTCCCCACCAAACGCGCTAATGAGCCCCCGGTGGCGCAGTGGGTTAAAGCCCTGTGCCGGTAGGACTGAAGACCAACAGGTCACAGGTTCGAATCCGGGGAGAGGCGGATGAGCTCCCTCTATCAGCTCCAGCTCCTCATGCGGGGACATGAGAGAAGCCTCCCACAAGGATGATAAAAACATCAAATCATCCAGGCGTCTCCTGGGCAACGTCCTTGCAGGTGGCCAATTCTCTCACACCAGAAGCGACTTGCAGTTTCTCAAGTCGCTCCTGACACGACTAATAATAACCAAACGCGCTTGTGACGCAGGTGGGATCGTGAGCAGGGCCTCTCCAGATGAACGGAGGGATCGTGTGAGTTCATATACGGAGATGCAGTCATAATGGCAGAAAACTTATGGCCCTCATGCATTTGAACAGGAGGTCAGCTGTTACCAACAGTGCTATGGATGTTGAAGAGGCACAAATAGATGGTGAAAGAGAGAAACTTGCCAAAAGGAAGGCGCATCAAACAAATCTTTGTGACTACCTTCCATCCAGCAGTGTATGTCCTCACTGGGAAAAATCATGCGGAACCAGAATAGGTCTCTACAGTTGTTTAGAGAGCCACTACCAAGACTTTACTCTTGAAAGACAAACATATTTGGCCACAAGGGATTGCCTAGGTCTAGGATGATGATAGTACATGCTGCCAGGAGTTTGGGGATAGGTAATTGCACAATTTAATTTTCCAGGTTTGTACAGGGTAAGTCCAAACTGATGGTTTGTGTAATTTTATTTTTATTTTCTGCTTGCATTTTAATGATCTGCACTGCAATTCCAGTTTGAGAATGCCTTTGGAAAGAGACTCATTATTCTCTCTCTCTTTGATCCACACAAACACACATAAAGAACCTCCCCCTTTTTTGTTGCACGATCTCTGTTTTGAGAACACTTGGAAAGATCTCGCCACACACCTGCGCACAAAATGCATCTGGCTTCCACAGAAAACATCCAAGATGAGGCGCTCATAAGCATCAGGAAGCTTTACACCCTGTTGAAAAGAAATCAGCGAAAGAGTTGTTAAGATAGAGAATGTGACTCTGTTCCTCGCAACTGTCATTGGGAAAAAAAAGAATCTGACAGGACAGCTTGTCAACCGAATACAAAATACGTCAACAACTTTGAGCTTCTCAGGTGCGGATTGCATAACCTATCACAGGGGTTCCCAAACTAAGACTAGTTGCAGCCCTCCAAAGTCATTTACCTGACCCCCGCCATAAACTTTAGAGCAGAAGTCCTCAAACTTTTTAAACAGAGGGCCAGGTCACAGTCCCTCAAACTGTTGGAGGGCCAGATTATAATTTGAAAAAAACATGAATGAATTCCTATGCACACTGCACATATCTTATTTGTAGTGCAAAAAACACTTAAAAACAATACAATAATTAAAATGAGGAACAATTTTAACAAATATAAACTTAATAGTATTTCATTGGGATGTGTGGGCCTGCTTTTGGCTGATGAGATAGGGTTGTTGTTGTTGTTGTTGTTGTTGTGTACTTTCAAGTCATTTCATACCTATGTTGACCCTGAGCGAGGGCCGGGTAAATGAACTTGGAGTACCGTATCTGGCCTCCGGGCCGTAGTTTGAGGACCCCTGCTTTAGAGTTAGGGTTGTTCTAAGTCTGAAAAAACTTGAAGTCATACAACAACAATAACAACAACAACAATTCTAATGACTTTGTTGAAGGCTTTCATAGCTAGAATCACTGGGTTGTTGTAGGTTTTTTCGGGCTATATGGCCATGTTCTAGAGGCATTCTCTCCTGACATTTCGCCTGCATCTATGGCAAGCATCCTCAGAGTAGTGAGGTTTTTATTTTTACTACATGAGTCTCACTACCTCTGAGGAAGCTTTAGAACGTGGCCATATAGCCCGACAAAATCTACAACAACCCAATTCTAATGACTCATTAGTCAAAAGCAGGGCCACACTTCCCATTGAAATACTAGTAAGTTTATGTTGGTTGAAATTGTTCTTCATTTTAAATATTGTATTCTCTCAATTTTTTTGAACTACAAATAAGATATATGCAGTGTGCATAGGAATTCGTTTGGTTTTTTTTTTTCAAACTATAATCCGGCCCTCCAACAGTATGAGGGACCGTGAACCAGTCCCCTGCTTAAAAATTTGATGATTTGGCCTATCACATTGTTAGAATGCTGACTGATTTATTTATTTATTTGCATTATTTCTATCCTGCTCATATCAGCCCAAAGGCGACTCAGAGCGGCGTACACAATCGGCACAATTCGATGCCATAAAAATACATACATTGATAAGCAAAATAACTATTATAGTGCGATTAGACATAAGACAGTGCATAATAACAATATTAAAAGCTAAAAACTATATCCTCTCATTCAAGTCCTTTTCTTGATGATTTGCCAAAGTAAAAAAGCCATCTCAAACCATACACTATTGGTATATGCCTTTGAGGTGCATGTCAACATATGCTGACCAAGGAATTTCACAGGGGTTTTTTAGACAAGGAATGCACAGAGTTTATTTATTTCTTTATTTACAACATTTATATGCCGCCCTTCTCACCCCGAAGGGGACTCAGAGCAGCTCACAAGGTATATATTACATACAATATATTATTAGCATAGTACAATATCAGCATTAAACATTGCTATATTGCACCATACCACTATATCGTAATATTATTAGTAATATTACATGTAATATAAATATATAATAATAATAATAATAATAATAATAATAATAATAATAATTTACTATTATTATTATATTGCATTATATCAGTTGGATCATGAAGATTTTTTCCTATGAAATAGCAACTGGTATTTCTCTCATTTCTGGATGAGAGATTGTAAGTGGCAATTTCTCATCCAAGTACTAACCAAGGATCACTCTGCTTAGCGTTCAAAATCAGATGGGATCTGGCAACCTTTGAGTATTTATGGAAAACTGAACATACAAGGAAAAAAATCATGTGACTTCAAACAATACTTTCAACAATCCTCTTCACACATTCAAATGATGTTCAAGTATTTGTGAAGTATCCTACGTTTCTAGCCTTCACTGCCTGTATCAACATTAGATTAACTTCCCAGAAGGCAATCTTTGTTCATGACAATTCTAAGTCCATTTGTATGTGCGCGCACACACCCATAGTTCATTTCATCTATCTAATCCAGGGGGCCTCAAACTAAGGCCCGGGGGCCAGATACGGCCCTCCAAGGTCATTTACCCGGCCCTCGCTCAGGGTCAACCTAAGACTGAAACGACTTGAAAGCACACAACAACAACAACAATCCTATCTCATCAGACAAAAGCAGGCCCACACTTCCCATTGAAATACTAATAAGTTTGTATTGGTTAACATTGCTCTTCATTTTAATTATTGTATTGTTTTTAAGTGTTTTTTGCACTACAAATAAGATATGTGCAGTGTGCATAGGAATTCATTCATGTTTTTTTCCAATTATAATCCGGCCCTCCAAAAGTTTGAGGGACTGTGACCTGGCCCTCTGTTTAAACATATAGATTAGACCCCTGATCTAATCTATATGTTGCTACACTGGTATTCCAAATAATGAAAAAAATTGCAGCTACTAAGGTTCAGAATTGGGAGTGCAACTTTTAACAACCTACAGAATGACAAGTTTTCTTGCCACCTAAAACACATTGAGAATAGTACCTTGTAGCGATTGCCATAAGTGAGGTCCAGCTCAGACTCTTCTGGGTTGAAGAACATCCCAGGCTTCTTGGTCATCATCTTAGTGTAGACAGCTTCATTGGGCTGAACCCGAATCACCAGCTCATTGCGTTTACACTGGCGCTGGAAGATGTCACCCGGCACCTCCCGAAACTGAAGGCGCACCTCTGCCTTGCGCTCATTTAGTGCCTTGCCACAGCGCAAGACAAATGGCACTCCTAAGATGGTTAAAGATGGTCACAACTCAACAAAGGGACTTGTGCTCTCTTCCTCAACCACAGCAAATATGGCATCCCAGTTATGATGCCCACCTACAACTTTCCCACACACCAGTCCCGACATACTCACCATCCCACCTTTCGTTGTCCACATAGAGCACTGCAGCAGCAAAAGTAGGGGTGGTGGAACCAGCTGGGACAGTGGGGTCATCTAGATAGCCCTTCTGAGCCTCCCCCTTGCCAGATGGATCCCCCACATACTGCCCAAGCACCACATTCTCAGGCTTTGCTTCTGAGATACACTTGAGAACCTTCACCTGGTGGAAAGAGATGGACACCGTCTGAGATCCTCATATAACAGCAGAAATGACTTGAAGCTCTGCTCAGGGGTGGGATGTGGAAAGAAGAGGCGCAATTCTATCATTGACTCAGACTGAAGAATGAGAGTGGAGAGCTGCTGCCTCAGCAAAAGGACCTTATTGGTGCTTCGCATAGGACTTAAGCCACTGAATGGAAGCAACAATGGAAGGAAATGGCATGTACTATTCATGCGATCCACATGAATGATTTTAAACTGCTTCTGAACTCTGCTCATGTGAGAATGCTGTTCAGCAGTGGAACTCTCTACCCCGAAGTGTGGTGGAGGCTCCTTCTATGGAGGCTTTTAAACGGAAACTGGATGGCCATCTGTTGGGGGTGCTTTGAATGCGATTTTCTTGCTTCTTGGCGGGGGTTAGACTGGATGGCCCATGAGGTCTCATCCAACTCTATGATTCTATGAGTGCGTCTACAGCAGTGCTTTCCAAATATTTCATGTTGGTGACACACTTTTTAGACATGACACAGGAATACAGTACTATCAAATCAGAGGTTAAACCAACCTCTTATAAGAGATACAGACACATACATAAACTGCAATAATGAAATGTATGAGGTCACGAAGAGTCGGAAATGACTGAATAAATGAACAACAACAAATGAGGACACAACGTATCTAATGAAAAATCTTTCATTTGCATTTTTAATCTATGACTAGCCGTCCCCTGCCACGCATTGCTGTGGCCCACATGGGGGTTCTGTGTGGGAGGTTTGGCCCAATTCTATTGTTGGTGGGGTTCAGAATGCTCTGTGATTGTAGGTGAACTATAAATCCCAGCAACTACAACTCCCAAATGTCAAGATTCTATTTTTCCCAAACTCCACCAGTGTTCACATTTGGGCATATTGAGTATTCGTGCCAAGTTTGGTCCAGATCCATCATTGTTTGAGTCCACAGTGATCTCTCTGGATATAGGTGAACTACAACTCCAAAACCAAAGGACACTGCCCACCAAACCCTTCCAGTATTTTCTGTTGGTCATGGGAGAACTGTGTGCCAAGTTTGGTTCAATTCCATCGTTGGTGGGGTTCAGAATGCTCTTTGATTGTAGGTGAACTATAAATCCCAGCAACTAAAACTCCCAAATGACAAAATCAATTTTTTGAGTGAAGGACATACATTGGGTTGTTAGGTGTATTGTGTCCAAATTTGGTGTCAATTCCAGTGGTTTTTGAGTTCTGTTAATCCCACAAACAAACATTACATTTTTATTTATATAGATTAGCTTGTACCCGCCACGCGTTGCTGTGGCCAAACTTCCCTCCCTCTTTCTTTTCTTCCTTCCCTCTTTCCTTCCTTTCCTCTATTTCTTTCCCTTCCTGTTTCTCTTCTTTCTTCCATCCTTCCTCCTCTCCTGTCTTTCCTTCTCTCTTCCTCCTTCTATTCTCTTTCCTTCCTTCCCCCTTTTTCTTTCTCTTTTGCTGTCTCTTTTCTTCCTTCTCTCTTTCCTTCTTTCCTCCCTCCCTCTTTCTCTACATCTTATCCCCTTCCTTCGCTCCCTCTTTCCTTCCTTCTTCCCTTTTTTCTTTCCTTCTCTCCTTCCTTCCTTTTCTAACTTTCCTTCCCTCTGCCTTTTTCTCTCTCCTTTCTTCCTTCTCTACTTCTTTCCTTCCTCCCTTCTCTCTTTGCTTCCATGCTTCCTTATCCCTTTCCTTCTTTCTTTCCCTCCCTCCCTCTTTCTCTTTCTTTTCTTTTTTTCTTCCCCTTCCCTCCCTCTTTCTTCCCTTTTTCTGTATTGTCGTTTAGCTTTTCGGGGCTTTTTAAGTCCCTTCTGCTGTGTTTTTCAGTGTTTTTATGAGTGAAGGACATACATTGGGTTGTTAGGTGTCTTGTGTCCAAATTTGGTGTCAATTCCCTCAGTGGTTTTTGAGTTCTGTTAATCCCACAAATGAACATTACATTTTTTTATATAGATTTATTGCTTATTTCACAAAGATTCAGAGGTTTCTTGTTATGTTTATGTGACACACATACACACTGCAGCTGACACACAGTTTGGAAAGCTCTGATCTACAAGGTAAACCATTTCCCTGACTGGAATTAACAACCACAGAGAACAGGAATGAGGAAATGGGAGCCCTCTATTCAGTCTAATTTCACATCCTAGGCTTTGTACACCCTACTACACAGCTCTGCCTTGCTCATGCTCATTAGGAGACACCCACAAGACACTCCCAAGGCTGTTGTGTCAGAACCTTGTGATCCCTTCCGACTCCTAAATGCTATGATTCAGATGTTGGATTACAGTTCCCATCTCTGTCCAATACCTATGCTGGCAGGCCTTAAACAACATCCTGCAAGTCAGAAGTTCCATATCCCCTTAAAGCAGTGGTTCTCAACCTTCCTAATGTCGTGACCCCTTAATACAGTTCCTCATGTTGTGGTGACCCCCAACCATAAAATTATTTTTGTTGCTACTTCATAACTGTAATTTTGCTATGTTATGAATCATAATGTAAATATCTGATATGCAGGATGTATTTTCATTCACTGGACCAAATTTGGCACAAATACCCACTACGCCCAAATTTGAATACTGGTGGGGTTGGGGGGACGGGGGGCGGATTGATTTGTCATTTGGGAGTCATAGTTGTCGGGATTTATAGTTCACCTACAATCAAAGAGCATTCTGTACTTCGCCAATGATGGAATTGAACCAAACTTGGTACACAGAATTCCCATGACCAACAGAAAATACTGGAAGGGTTTGGTGGGCACTGACCTTGAGTTTGGGAGTTGTAGTTAGGTCACCTACATCTAGAGAGCACCGTGGACTCAAACAATGATGGATCTGAACCAAACTTGGCATGGATATTCAATATGCCCAAATGTGAACACTGGTGGAGTTTGGAGAAAACACACCTTGACATTTGGGAGTTGTAGTCGTGGGATTTATAGTTCACCTTCCATCAAAGAGCATCCAAGTATAGAATTGGGCCAAACTTCCCACACAGAACCTCTATGACCAACGGAAAGTACTGTGTTTTGATGGTCTTTGGCGACCCCTCTGACACTTCTCACGACCCCCCCCCAAGGGGCCCTGACCCCTAGGTTGAGAAACACTGCCTTAAAGAAAAAAATCCTTTCTCTGGTGCCACTTGGAAAAATTCTGAGGAAAGAGGAAAACGCAGCTCCCAGAGAGAAGCAGTCCAATACCGAACAGCACAGGCTTTCCATCACTGTGAAGTAGCAGCATCCCTACTCAGTGCCTTTGGCCAATCTCTTTGATTTTTCTTCCAAAGAGATACATTGGGCTTCCTAACAGTGAATGACATATTTCTAAGCAGTAACTTATCCACTCTAATTTGTTAGCTAAGTAATGAGAAATACAAACTTGCCCAAAGACATTCAAGCAGAAGAGTTGAATTCAGATGCCAGGTCTTAGTCAAATGCTTGAAAACAGATACTGTTCCCCTACCTTTTCATCACGCACATCATCGGAGTTCGTAGAGGCTGGTTTCTCCATGGCTACCAAGCACAGCATTTGAAGAAGGTGATTCTGCATTACATCCCTGAAGAGGTTTCAGAAGGAAATTTATATCAGCAGTACTTCAAATTATTGGTCATAACAGTCCCACTCTCTGTCCTAAAGCATTCCCATCATATTTTGGCACAATACTCTAGAGGTTGATCTGTGACTGACTGACTACTACTACTACTACTACTACTACTAATAATAATAATAATAATAATAATAATAATAATAATAATCTTCACTTGGGAAGTGTCTGATGTGTTATTTATTTATTTATTTATTTATTTTATTCCATTTCTACCCCGCCCTTCTCACCCCCAAGGGGGGACTCAGGGCAGCTAACACAGGCAACTATTCAATGCCAACAGTATCAAAACAACAATATAAAACAGCAATATAAAATCCATTACATAACAATTAAGCAGTGATATTAATTAAAATTACATAATCATATACATAACCACATAGAACAGATCCAATTCAACAGCCAGCAGAGTGTCTACTGTGTCTGCTGTGGACTCATCTTGTTGTGTTTCAAATAATAAAACTTTATTTATACCCCGCTACCATCTCCCTAAGGGACTCAGAGCGGCTTACTTGAGGCCAAGCCCAACAACACATCAGTAAAACAACAAAGCAATAAGCAAATAAAACAATACAATTAATATAACTCACATATAGACAATAACATGCAAAAATTTAAAAACCTATGACTGGGCCAGATGTAATAGTTTAAAATTTTAAAAATAAACACTGGGCATGAACAGAGATAGGATGTATCTAAGCAGGAGGGTTTTAAAGGAAATGTTGGGAGAGCAACCCAACGGGTATTTAAAGTGCTTCTGAGGATATTTTGCAGGGACTACCCTCCTAGGGTATGTCTATAGTATAGAATTAATGCAGTTTGACACCACTTTAACTGCTATGGAATCATGGAATCTATAGTTTTAGAAAGTCTTCATTCTTCTCTGCCAAAGAGTACTGGTGCCTCAACAAACTACAGATCGCAGGATTCCATAGCACTGAGCCACAGCAATTAAAACTGTGTCAAATTGTATGAATTCTACGCTGTGTAGATCAGTGGTTCCCAATATTTTTTGACCAGGGACCACTCTCCAACATTAGTACAAAAAGGGTTACGGATGGTTTTTGGTCAACTTTAGATTCAGTTTGGTTATTTGGAGTGCCGATTCAGAAAACTGCATTGGATAGACCACATCAGCTCTAGTTTCTGATACAGAACGTATGCCATCCAGTAGTCGCCATCTGCTTGAAATAAAGCAAGGGGCAGACAATTTGCAGAATACTGGGAGTGTGAGAGGTGTTAAGCATACCCCATGAAACTTCTCCATCCCTGCTGTTTCTTTCATACCTATCCCATTTTACCTATATACTCTTTGCACTAACTACACTATTATACACAGAATACTAGCATACTGAAGAAAAGGCTTGAACAGAAACATTTTTCTCTGACATACTGTTTTTCCATGTGCATCACAGGAAAACATTCAGGTCCCCAAACCTACAATCCTGAATGGCACGTTTCAGACATAGGTCTACCGCCTCTTATGCTGTTAAGTGAATTTAGATTTCTACAGCATTTGAGTGTCATATCTGTTCACTGCAATGCTTCAATGGTTGCCACACACATCTCATGGGCAAAAAAAAACACCACATTCACATGCTCACCTGATGATGCCAAACTCATCAAAATAGCCACCCCGACCCTCAGTGCCAAATGGCTCTTTGAAAGTCAGGATGACACAGGCCACATTGTCACGGTTCCAGATAGGGCCAAAGATCCGGTTCCCAAACCTGCAGAAACAAACAGGATAAAGCCAACATCAGAGAAGTGCTCTATTCCACTGAGACCACATCTTGCCCCCCGCCCATTTGTTAAAAAGGTTTGTGGGAACAAGGACAAAATGTGCTTCGAATGTGCATAGGAAAAAGAAAGCTTGAATAGAGCTGCGAAGGAATTAACAAAATGACCAAGCTTAAGCACTAGGCTTAAGCCAGCCACATGACTTTGGTGGTGTCTATGGACAACACTGGCTCTTCGGCTTAGAAATGGAGGTGAGTACCACACCTCAGAGTCGGACACAACTGGACTTAATGTCAAGGGAAAACCTTTACCTTTACCTAAGCACCATGGAGGCTTTCTTGGTCCTCAAGTTCTTAATTGTTTTTGCTTTTTGAATGTATGTATTGATGGCATCGAATTGTGCCGATATGTAGACTGCCCTGAGTCGCCTGTGGGCTGATATGGGCGGGATATAAATAATGTAAATAAATAAATAAATTAAAATATGTCCTCCATGGGCTCACCAGCTTAGATCTCTCATGGCAACACCCCAATTCCTACTTTACCTGAGCACCATCAGGTTCTGCACCATCTCCTTGCCCAGGTAGTGGTCAATGCGGTAAATCTGGTCTTCCCTAAAAAGTCCTGAGATGTGATTTGACAGCTTGTTGGAGCTCTCCAAGTCTTTGCCAAAAGGCTTCTCCACAATGACACGATTCCAGCCACTGGCGATAAGGAAGAGGGAAGAAAGGTGAGGTTTCACACAGGGGCTTAAAAGGCAATAGGGGGTAACAGTCAAGAGATCACCTAATTAAATGCCATTTTCAGAGGAGAAAATTGGCAAACCACTTCTGAGTATTCCTCAACTAAGAAAGCCATGTGAAATTCATGGTGTTGCTACAAGTCTTCCCTTAAGTCAGTATTTCTCAACCTTCCTAGTGCTGCGACCCCTTATTACAGGTTCCTTATGTTGTGGTGACCCCCAACCTTAACATTATTTTTGTTGCTAGTTCATAATTGTCATTTTGCTACTTTTATTATAAATCGTAATGTAAATATCTGATATRCAGGATGTATTTTCATTCACTGAACCAAATTTGGCACAAATGCCCATTGCGCCCAAATCTGAATACTGGTGGGGTTGGGGAGGGGATTGATTTTGTCATTTGGGAGCTGTAGTTGCTGGGATTTATAGTTCACCCACAATCAAAGAGCATTCTAAACTTCACCAASGATGGAATTGAACCAGTCTTAGCACACAGAACTCCCATGAGCAATTGAAAATACTCTAAGGGTTTGGTGGGCATTGACCTTGAGTTTTGGAGTTGTAGTTCACCTACATCCAGAGAGCACCGTGGACTCAAACAATGATGGATCTGGACCAAACTTGGCACGAATACTCAGTATGCCCAAATGTAAGCACTGGTGGAGTTTGGGGAAAATAGACCTTGAGATTTGGGAGTTGGAAGTTGCTGGGATGTATAGTTCACCCACAATCAAAGAACATTCTGAATCCCACAAATGATAGAATTGGACCAGACTTCTCACAGAYAACCCCCATGACCAATGGAAAATACAGTGTTTTCTGGTGGTCTTTGGTGACCCCTCTGACACTGCCTCGTGACCCCTCCAGGGGTCCCGACCCCCAGGTTGAGAAACACTGCCTTAAGTGTCTTCCCTTAAGTGYCATGGTGTTGCTACAAGTCTTCCCTTAAAGCCTTAYATTGTTTGGGTCTGGGATACCTGTAGGGTCACTTCCTCCTATACAATTAGCCCCATATAGTTAGTTCTCCTGAAGGACATACAAACCAAGTAGGACCATACTGGCAACAGTCACCCAAAGGACATTTTGTCAGCTGCCCTGATTGTGGAATATCCTACCGGAAGAGATTCAACAGCGAAACATGCTGTCTGAAATCTAAAACAAACAAATGGCCTATCTCTTCCGGCAGGCCTACCCAGCTGATTTTAAATTGTGAATTTTAAATTGACATCTTTATAGATATGGATTATTTTAATAATAATAATAATAATAATAATAATAATAATAATAACTTTATTTGTACCCCGCTACCATCTCCCCATGGGACTCAGTGTGGCTTACATGAGGCCAAGCCCAAAATACATCAAATAACATCAATAACACAAAATTAATAAACAATCAATAAAATACAAATCATATAAATCACATAACAAAACAACTATCAATAGTGACATATAAACAGTTTTAAAATGGCTGGGCCAAATGTAGTAGATTAAAATTGAAAATAATGTGTAATTGTTGGTGTTTTAATCATATGTTTGTGTTTTTAATCTAGATGTTATAAAGAGTATTACGTGCTTTTAGTTATATGTTGCATTTTAATTCTATGTTGCACCTCCCCTTGAGGGGAGGTGACTAAGAACTACATTATTGTTATTATTTATTTCACAAGTGATTTGAAGACTCACACACATATATCGTACTTAATCCCCCTCCCCCTCACACACACACCTGAATTAAAAGAGATGCAAATCAAGCCCATTTCCATAAGTGCTGTGTAAAATTTATGATGCTTTTGCTAGCCTCGGGAAAGCCTCGGGGTGCTTTGTAAACAAATGAATTCCTACACCACTACTACCACTACGTAAGCAAGCAGCTTGCTTCACTCCAAGGTTCACCTGGTGCCACCAGAAAAAATTTAGCTATAATACTAGCTGTCCCCTGCCATGCGTTGCTGTGGCCCAGTCTGGTGATTTGGAAAATAAAGTAATGAGAAAGTGTTGGTTTCTAATTTATGTAATTTCTTTATGCTTTCTTGTTTCTTTGTCAGTGTTGCTGTGGAGATTGTCTGGTTTGCCTGCTCTGGAACATGCAACATATAATTGTCCTTCTTTAGGGGTCCCTTTCAAATATATCTGTGTGTGTGAGAATCATATATATCTATCTATATCTATGGCTGGATGGCACTTTGTCGGGAGGGCTTTGATTATGTTTTCTTGCCCTGGTGAAGGGAGTGGGACTGGAAGTCCTTAAGTATTTTGTGTTGGTCATGGTGGTTCTGTGTGGGAAGTTTGCCCCAAATCCGTCGTTGGTGGGGTTCAGAATGCTTTTTGATTGTAGGTGAACTATAAATCCCAGTAACTACAACTCCCAAATGTCAATGGCTATTTTCCCCAAACTCCATCTGTGTTCATATTTGGCCATATGGAATATTTGTGCCAAGTTTGGTCCAGATCCATCATTGTTTGAGTCCACAGTGCTCTCTGGAAGTAGGTGAACTGCAACTCCCAAACTCAAGGTCAGTGCCCACCTTCTAGTGTTTTCTGTTGGTCATGGGAGTCCTGTGTGTCATGTTTGGTTCAATTTCATCACTGGTGGAGTTCAGAATGCTCTTTGATTGTAGGTTAACTATAAATCCCAGCAACTACAACTCCCAAATGACAAAATCATTTTTTTTAGTAATGGTCATTCCTTGGGTTAGTAGATGTCTTGTGTCCAAATTTGGTGTCAATTCGTCCAGTGGTTGTTGAGTTATGTTAATCTCACAAACGAACATTACATTTTTATTTATACAGATTAGACCAATCATGCTCACTCAGTCCTTACTATCTAAACACAACAACAACCAGAGAGCATCAGGCAACTGCTTTCTGTTTGTACAATGAGAGAAGCAGTCCTGTCTTTTAAGTGGTGCCCAGAGCAATCTGTGTTCCTAAACAAAGCCAAGCACATTCCATTCCACTCCACTCTTCCTCCAAAATCCATCTGCCAGGCCCGGAAACTTACACAGCGCTCATGCAGGTGTGTCGGATGTTGGCGGTGACATGCTCATAGACGCTGGGCGGCAGGGCCAAGTAGAAGAGACGATTTGCCTTAGCCCCATTGTGAAGGGCATTCAGATGAGCATTGAGCCGTTCAAAGGAGGCCCGGTCATCATACTTTCCTGAGATGTATGAGTTGCGGGCAAAAAAATCATTCAGTTTCTGCTCTTCTTCGGGGGTGGCCTGGAATGAAATGATCTATAGTAAGACTACAGAACCCATATCCAACATTTTGCTTACCAACTCTGAGAATAAAATTGTTTCTTTGGGAATCTGCAAAGTTCTCGATGTGATTTACTGATATGCTTCCCCCAGAACTTAGTTGTACTGGAGGACCTTGAAAATTGATAAGAGAGAATACTCTACAACACAACCTGAGGCTTTCCAGGTGTTTTGGACTTCATCTCCCAGAACTGAAGAGAGATAATGACAAGCTGGAATGTGTCCAGAGGAGAGCGACTAAAATGATCAAGGGTCTGGAGAACAAGCCCTATGAAGAACGGCTTAAAGAGCTGGGCATGTTTAGCCTGAAGAAGAGAAGGCTGAGAGGAGACATGATAGCCATGTATAAATATGTGAGGGGAAGTCATAGGGAGGAGGGAGCAAGCTTGTTTTCTGCTGCCATGAAGACTAGGACATGGAACAACAGCTTCAAACTACAAGAAAGGAGATTCCATCTGAACATTAGGAAGAACTTCCTGACTGTGAGAGCCGTTCAGCAGTGGAACTCTCTGCCTCGGAGTGTGGTGGAGGCTCCTTCTTTGGAAGCTTTTAAACAGAGGCTGGATGGCCATCTGTCAGGAATGCTTTGAATGCAATATTCCTGCTTCTTGGCAGGGGGTTGGACTGGATGGCCCATGAGGTCTCTTCCCAACTCTAGGATTCTATGAATTCCTGACCACTGGATAAGCTGACTAGGGCTTCTGGGAGTTGGAGGCCTAAACACCTGAAGGGCCACAGATTGTGCAGGCCTGATCTTCTGTATGCTGAGACTGGAAGTCAGTCATATCCATGGTTTCAAGTAACTGCAGTACATCCAGGAACGTATTCATCATGGATACAGGGATTTTACTGTAACTTTGTTATCCTACAAAAGTAGAGTGAGCTCTCTTTGTTATCCTTCACACCCTCAGCGTACCCCCTCCTTCCAGGGTTCCCAAAGAAAGCACATGTCTGACTCATATTACAAAGGAAGGAAAGATCAGCTTATCAAATGTCACTCCTATGGGGCAAACCACCAAACACAAAACCAAGCAAAATCCTGAGATATTTGGGACTGTGGAGGCAACAGATGGTGGCACTCACCTTGAGGTAGGGTTGGCTCTGCTTGCGGATGTCGGCAACTGTCAGTTGGGATCGGGCATATCCTACCACGTATGTGTCATCGGGGAGCAGCCCATCACGGTATAGCCACCTGTACAGGAGATCACAATGGTCTTGAAGCAAGAACAGGGAGGGGGCAAAGGGAAAGGAGGGCAGCAAACAAGACTTACCAGATGGTGGGATAGATCTTCTTCTTGGCTAGATCACCCTGCAAATACAAGACAAAAAAGAAGAAAAACTAATCAATCACTCCTAGAACAGATGAAGGCTCCCTGCAAAGAAGGACTGAACTGGGAACATGCGAGATCTGAGAGGCAGAGAAGGAGGTACAGTAATAGGAATATTACAAAATTAAATAAGATCTGATGCTTTTTAAATTTTTATTTGGTGTGCGTTGGAAGAGGGGTAGTCTTATACGGCGAGTATATCCCAAACTCTATATTTTAACTGGAAATGTTGGGGGTCGTCTTATACGCCCAGTCGTCTTATATGCCGGAATTTACGCTACTGTAGATGCACCCAAGTCTCAGCTCAGTTCTGCCTTCTCTCTTTGGCCAGCCTTCCATTCCATTGAGTCCTTCTCTCCCTGTGGCTGGCAGTACCATGCTGACTGCCTGAATGGCCCTGGCTTTTGTCCCTTGAATGAAATGCGGGTGGGAAGCCGTGTTACCCTTGGCTCAGGGCCCGACTGCAAACATGCCTAGTCATGGTGCATTATCATCCCGAACGGCACCACGCCCAGGACTTGAGCCCAGCTCCTCACGCCACCAGGCAAAGTGAGTGGGCATGGATAAGCAACAGAACAGATTGAAGCAAGGAGGTGCTGGAGAACTAGGCACAAATCCATTAGGGCCAGAGAAAGGTTTCCCACAACAGCCTCCAGTAAAAAGGGAGAGAGCAGGAGAGGCCACAAAAAAGGAATGCAAATCCTCTATTTTGTCTACTTGTGATATTAATTTTATTTATTTATTTACAACATTTCTATCCCGCCCTTCTCAACTCTAACACTGGCAACAATTCGATGCTGCAAATTATCAAAATCTAACAACAATATAAAACCATAAATACACAATAGATTAAAAACAATAACATTAATTATAGTCATATAGCCGTTTCCATTATTATAGCAATCATATGGTCCAGTTCAATGTCCAAAGTGCCGTTATGCCTGCTAGCCAAAAGCCTAGTTCCAAAACCACAATTTCACATTTTTCCTAAAGGAAAGGAGGGAAGATGTGGATCTAATCTCGCTGGGGAGCGAATTCCACAAGTGGGGGGTTACCACCGAGAAGGTCCTGTCCCTCGTTCCCACCAGACGGGCTTGTGACTGGTAAGGTAAAGGTAAAGGTTGTCCCCTGACATGAAGTCCAGTTGTGTCCGACTCTGGGATGTGGTGCTCCTCTTTATTTCAAAGCCGAAGAACCGGCGTTATCCAAAGACACCACCAAGGTCATGTGGCCGGTATGACTGCATGGAGCGCCGTTACCTTCCCACCGGAGTGGTACCTATTGATCTACTCACATTTGCATGCTGTCGAACTGCTAGGTTGGCAGAAGCTGGGGCTGACAGCAGAAGCTCATGCTGCTCCCTGGATTTGAACCTGCGACCTTTCAGTCAACAAGCTCAGCAGCTCAGCGCTTTAACCCAATGCGCCACTGGGGGCTCTTTGCGACTGGTAGGGCAACTGGTAGGGATCAGGAATCATCTAACACCCCCCCACCGCCGCCTTTCAATTTATTTTATTTTATTTTAATGTGATAACAAAGTAGATGGGACTTCTAAAACCTTTTCCATTTGTGACCATTTCTGTCTGGAAAAAGTCTGACATGACCCTAAGTATATATGGTAGGTATATAAAAGAGGTATAAAAAATCAAGCATTTACTGATATCACTATGTAACACAATTTTTGTTCCTGGGTTATATTGGGTTTTATCATAAAAACATGGAAAAATGTATTACACTGCAAAATCTTTGTTTTTGCGGAACATACTGCAGCACATTTTGCTATAGTTTTTTTCCATGAATATCTCATTGAGTCTCAACCAATTTAACAACAACAACAACAACAACAACAACAATTTTATTTATAACCCACCACCATCTCCCCAGTGGGGACTCGGAGCGGCTTACATGGGGCCAAGCCCGGACAATATATTACACTGTTTGTGGCAGCCACAAAAACAACGTTTCTGGAGTATAACAACTAGTTTTAAAGTAAGTATTGCACAATTAAACAGGAAATAACACTTTCAAACTAGGAACGTATCTTTTTTTCAAATTTTGTTACATAGTGTAATCAATCAGCACTTGCACAGTTTGCTAAACAGGCCAATTTTCCTTTTTATGAAGTTTGCAGGGTCTGTTGTAAAGTCCTGCATATTGTTGGTAATAGATCTGTCTCAATATCTAGGTTTAGAAACATTTTACTGTTGACAAATTATTTGCGAAACCAGCATTGAGCTAAGGGGATCCCATTTGGTGTCAAGACCCACAATTTGAGAAACAATGGTGATGCTGTTGTCCAAGTGTATCTGCTTTACTGCATCTGAAGAAGTGGGTTTATATCCATGAGACTCAGATGAAAACAAAAACCAGTTAGTTTTTAAAATATTGCCACATTTCTGTTTTCCTCTCCATCTTCCTTCCTCCTTTTTATGCTGCAAGAGAATAATGCAGCCACTTCTTTAGAAACTAGCCATTAATGTCACTGAAAACGTAAACCAAGGAGCTGTGCAAAACGAATACATAGCCCTATAATTAGTTTCGTATAGAGTTCCATAGTGAACATGCTCATGTAATGTATGTGTGTGAGTAGCTATATATTCTGTGCAAGTGTTTACAGGCAGTCCCCAAGTTACAAACAAGATAGGCTCTGTACGTTTGTTCTTAAGTTGAATTTGTATAGAAGTCGGATCACGTTTGTCAGGGGTGATCTGATTGTGCTTTTCCTGCATGGCAGGGGGTTTGACTAGACGGCCCATGTGGTCTCTCCCAACCAGGCCCGTAGCCAGGATTTCGTTTCGGGGGGGGGGGGCCTTTTTCAGGGGGGGTTTCGGGGGGGCTGAGTTTCGGGGGGGGGCTGAGTCTGAGTGAAAGAGGGTCTACCCTAGCAAACCTTTTGTATCGTTACCCCAATACCCCCATGCATATGGGATATATTGAGTATGGTGATCAGATCATGATATGAATAAACATAACAGTTTAAATAATGCAACAGTAAGGCCTTTTTGCGAACCACCATGAGAATGCCTACATGCCTGCTCCCAACCCTATTGTTCTATGATGCTAGGTACATTTATTTAAGTACAATTCTCAGGTTTATACCCTTAAGATTCATACTTCATGCCCAGCTCATCTGGACGACATTGAGGAATCTTAAGCACCTTCAAACCAGTCCTTTGACATCAAGAGGAAGACTTTGTGCCTTCAATATAGGTGATTGGACTGGGGCTGTGAGTGTTCAGACCTTATAGCCATTGAGAAAGAGGGAACTTGGAAGCTACTCAGCTGGAAAACCCCTTGGACCCAAGACAACCAGAGACTGTAATGTATATTTTCTTTTCCCCTTTTGGTACATTTATCCAAATGTACATTTGGTACATTTGGATAGCTTAGGGAAGGGATAACACCCCTATGGTGTTTGTTTTGCTCTCTGTGCCCCTGATCATGAGAGCCAGTATCCAAATGCCATAAATATACTTTGGTACTGCTATGCTTCCGGTGTAAGATTAGTTACTATTTTCCAATTCCTTGCAATTATAATTCTTGCCACTGTGAGTAAAATAATCACCAATTCTGTGTTATGCATTTCTAAATTCAACTTTGCATGGTATAGGGAGGTATGAAATGTAGCCTTTTTTTTAAGAAATGTTTTTACTGATAATTATTATGCGGTTAAGAAAAAGGAGGGGAAAAAAAGAATTATACGTTTTTGTACATCGAAAGTGGGAGAACATTATTGCTTTTGATAGAAAAGTAGCGAAGAATAAGAAAAGAAAGAGAGACAAAAGAAAAAAATGAGGAGGTGGGGGGGTGGGCAGGAGCCCCACCAGAAAAATAGGAAAAAATATTCAAAACTAATGATAATAATATTGAAAACATGGTGGAAAAAAAGGAAAGAAAAAAAAGGACTTCCATCTGATTTTCCATCTGATTTAAATGCTGTATGTTATTGTTATTGTTTATTGCTTATTATTTTGTTTTTGAGTTTTATGTCAACTGTTTGTATTGATTATTTGTTATTGCTTTTGTTTATTGATGTGCTGTGGGCTTGGCCTCATGTAAGCCATACCGAGTCACTTGGGGAGATGCTAGCGGGGTACAAATAAAGTATTATTATTATTATTATTATTATTATTATTATTATTATTATCTTCATTGGTCTTTAGTGTCTTTTTCTGACTTTAAAAAATATAGTTCACTCCCCCGCTGATCTTCTTTAATTATTGTTTATTTTCTTTTTTATGCAATAATCTCTATTTTCCATTGTCTAAGATACTCTTTCACCGGGTCCCAGTTCGTACGTTTCATCGGTGTTCCTTGATTTGACGTTAACCAGTATGTTAGTTCGTCCATACATATTATGTTTAAGATTTTGTTGAGCCATTCTTCCCTTTGGGGTGTTCCTTCCATTCGCCATTTCCTAGTAAAGACAATTCTATCTGCAATAGTTAGGAAGTTAAATAATTTTTCCTTATTTTTGTCACCTCCAAAGTCTAACATTCCTAGCAGGAAGAACTCTGGCTCTTTTTTAATTTGTACTTCTAAGATCTTTTGAATGTTACTGTGGATAATGTTCCAATAATCTTTAGTCTTTGGGCAGGTCCACCAAGTGTGGAAAAAGGTGCCTGTTTGTTGGTTGTACTTCCAGCATTTGTTTGATGCATTTTTATAATATTTTGAGATTTGGAATGTAGCCTTAAATGATAAACTATCAATGGAAATGAGGGTATTCAGGGGGGAAACTAACAGATCAGATTTTGATACATACTGGTCGGTCTTTATTAAATGGAGTGAAAATGGAAAACAACATAACCTCATTGGTCAATAATTTCAGATATGACATTTGATTAATGGTTGATTTTTACATATATGGCGAAGGAAAGGATACTTATTCAGGCCTTGGTGGTAGGGCTATGTGTTTGTAAAATGTTCAGTTTTGTGTTTTGTTTACACTGTAAGTTGTTAATGTATGTAAATAAAATCT